AAAAAAAAAACCAAAGAATAGAATAATATCCACACAACAGCCAAGTTCTGTTGCTGCTGTGGTACCTGGCACCATTTTTTCTATTAGTCTCTTAATCATCATCTGGAAAGAGAACATTCTAGAGTAATATCATTAAATGTAGCTCTGATAAAGCACGGTCCCTACTATGTATCAGAAAGCAGGTACTAGATATTTTACATTCATAGAGGTATGACACAGTACTGTCCTACATCAATAATACTAGATTCAGTTTTGGTTTGAAATTTACTTTGTCTGCAAATAAGATTGCTACCCCTGTTTTTTTCTGGGCTCCTGTCACATGGAGAATTGTTTTCTATCTTTTCACTTTCAGTCTATGGGCTTCTTTTTGCACTAGGTGTGTTTCTTGTATACAACATATTATTGGATTTTGCTTCTTATTCCATTTTGCCAGTCTATTTCTCTTGATTGGTGAGTTGAGGCCATTGACATTCCTGATTATAACTGATATGTACTGAGTTGTTATTGACATGTTATTGGCCTTTTGTTGACTCTTTTTACTTTTTCACCTTCTCCTTTTAATTTCTTGCCTTGCCTATTTGATTTGCTCTGTTGGGCCTCATGGTGTTGTTGCCTTCATTATACCAATAGATCAATTTTATATGCCTATTTTTCACATACTTTCTGTTTGAGGCCTTCCATTCTTTTTGACCGAAGAAAAGGAAAAAAGGGGTATCATGTAATTTTAAAATTTGATTTCAGAATTAGATATCTGCATTTAAAACTCAGCTCTTTTACTAGAAAGTAGTTCTTTATATTGCAGTTACTTTTTTGAAAATGTTGGAAATAGCATAGCTTATAGGTTTGCAAAGGTTCAAATGAGGATGTAAAGGCATTAAAAAATAACCTGTTGTCAGTATGGTTTGAATGTGTTGCCCCAAAATTCATGTGCTGCAAATTTACTAACCAAATTCATGTATGAATGAACAGTATTTGCAGGTGGGGCTTTTAGGAAGTAATTAAGATAAGGAATTAAATCATAAGGTAGAGCTCCCATGATGGTGTTAGTGGCTTTGAAACAGGGAAAGTGAGAACTGAGCTAGCAGGTGCTCTGCTCACCATGCCATGTCCTACATTATGATCCAGTAAGAAACCCCCGAACAGACTCCAGCTTCTTGATACTGGACGTTCTAGCCTCCAGAACCATGGGATAATAAAGTTCTATATAAACTACAGTACTTGGTCTCAGGAGTTTTCTTCCAGTAACTCTAAACAGGTTAGGATATTTGTACAAATGTTACCATTACTTCAAAAATTGGTACCTGACAGATATGAGAATAGTTTTAACTTGACATCTGAATAATAATTTCACTAAAAATTACATGTAAATTTTATAAGATCTTTACCTTTTTATAACTGGATATTCTATGACGTATGTGTTCAATTCTTTTACTGCAAATGGTGTTAAATTTACTCTGAAGGTCAGCAGGAATCACTTCATTTAGAGAATTAAGGCTGGTGCAGTTTTGTATAAAATGATCATCGCTTTTAGCCAGGGCTTCAAGAATCTATGGTGATAAACGCACACAAGACAAAGCAAAACAAATTTCAGAAGTAGACACATAAAACTTTCAAAAGCTTACACTACAGTGTGACCTTCTTGTATTGGTCTTTTCGAAGCAGCTCCTCAGGATTTCCATGTTCAGTGAGAAAAACACTCTCAGTGAAGTAATTTGACATGTCTGACTAGAATCTAAGGTTGTGCCTTCTGCTGACTATAAAAGCCTTCCTGGGGAGGCAAGGGTACTTCAAAGGTCCCCTACTGCATAAATGAGTACCTTCTGATGTGGGAACACCTCTATTTTACTCAGTCACTCAGAATATTTTTTTTTCCTCAATTGGGTAGTAGAACAAAAAAGCAAAGAAAAGCAATAGTATCTTTACTTGTAACAGAACCAAATACATATTGTGCAAATTAGAAATGCTTGAGGGGGACCAGGGATTTAGCTCAGTGGTTCCAGCGCCTGCCTCACGCGTACAAGGACCTGAGACCTGAGTTCGATCCCTGGCACCAAAAAGGAAAAAAAAAAAGAAAGAAAGAAAGAAAGAAAGAAAGAAAGAAAGAAAGAAAGAAAGAAAGAAAGAAAGAAAGAAAGAAAGAAAGAAAGAAAGAAAGAAAGAAAGAAATGCTTGCTTGGCTGGGGATTTAGCTCAGTGGCAATGTGCCTGCCTCACAAGCACGAGGTCCTGAGTTTGATCTCTGATACAAAAAGAAAGAAAGAAAAAGGGAAATGCTTGCTGAAGGAATAAATAAATAAGCAGTTATCTTGGTAAAGAATAAATTAATATTTATGCAATGTCTGAGCTCTTGCTAGCTGGTAAAAGCATCAGACAGTATCCATACAATGTTTACACCCAGAAATATTCTTGTATATTTGAATCAACTTTAAGTCTATATACGAGAGAACATTACACCACTGAGAATTTCTAATGAATTGAAATTACGCACTATATTAATTTGCAGCATTTATGATTGTTCAGCGATCACAAGGGTAGATTATACTTTTAAACAATATTTTTATAATACTCTGTAAGATAGAATGTGTCAATGTTATATTTTCTTCAGCTGTCTTACCATCTCCACTTCTCTGTTATGCTGAAAAGGGAGATTTTGTTTAAGTACCAATGTTACAAAGAGCTGCTTTTATCCTTAGCAGTGTGGTTCTAGCTAAATTCCTTGGCTTCTTTGACTTTCTTCAGGTGTAAAATGGAAATGATACCTACAGTACTTGTTTATATAGTTATCATATACAAGTAATGCATGTAATTTTACAAACTTGAAATAACTGGAAAATAAGACAGAATGATTGTAATAACCTGGCCCTGGACTTATAGATCCTATTAGTTGTGTAACACAGTTGAAAAGAGATGGCATTTTGAAAATATGTACTTTGTATCAATAGTGGCAAAATGTAAAGATGTTTTTAGGTTGATTTTCAGAATACAAAACAAAAAATATAAAATAATTATTTTAAAAGTAATTCATTTGGATTTCTATATTACTTTCCCACATTATTTTTTTTTTAATATATGCAACAAATGGCAACTATCTCAACTAGAGGTCATTTGAAGTGAGAATTAAAATAAAGAAATATAGGTATAGGATCTATATCTCATTATCCTTACTTGTAATATCTGAATTCTCAGAGGATGATATAAAAGTAGAACAAAATGCTAAATCTCAGACCTATAGGTAGTAAAGTAAGAGGCTGACTTGTCTTTTCAAAGGGCATGAAAAAGAAGCATGAGTCACCTCTTTGTACATTTCATCCACTGAATATAAACTACCTTCTTGTCTCATCGTCTTGCTTTTGCCTAAGGATCTTATGGTGATATCCTTCCACACAAGAATTATACAAATGTCTGTGGACCTATTCATAAACTGACATATAGGCTTCCTGTAATTTTTGACAACACATGAAATTTCTTACAGTGTACTAATTTTGTGGCTCCAAGTACTCATCATAGTATAATGCTCATTAAAAAATAAAAACACTTGTCCTAAAAACCATCTGAAACATATTCACAATGCTTCACTGACAGATGCAACAAACTTAATCAGTGCAATGTCCTCTTTGTCGCAACTAAAACTTTACTGTTGAAGAGTCTCATCTAAACACTGTGCTCAAAAAGGATCAATGAAAGGAAGACTGTACACATGCTTAATAATGGGAGGAAATAAAAGGGAGTTGAATGAACTCTCAGCTTCCACATGTACAACTATTCCCTTTTTAAAAGTCGGGGGCTTGAGGGGCTCAATTGCTTCCTTTACAACAAAGAATCTGTTGTCAAGGAGCCATTCGTACCTTGGCAGTTAAGCTGAAGAATCCTTTGGGCTCGATCATCTTCTCCACCACATTGCACTTGATTCCAGCTGTGCTGTCGTACTCATATACCACCCCATATTCCAGGTGGACATTGTCCACTGTCAGACTCACGTGTTCCTTCTTCCCATCAATGATGGCCATGGTGTCGAACTTGTCAATGACCTCTGGAATACAGGCTCTTTTAAATCAGCAAATTCATGAAGGGTTGGTTCATTCCCTCAAATAATTTCGAGTCTCTAAATAATTTTTTAAAAGTTCTTTCAAGCGTGGCTAAATCTAATTGTTAAAGGAAGCACCTATTCTTGTTAACATCTTGAAAAACAAAGACAATTTTTCAAAAAAACGTTGTGAATGACCAAAATGTCACTACCATAATATGACCGATATAATCTGTATAATCCACTTTGATTTGTGGACCATTTGTAGACTTATTTTTACCAATGTAAACGTTGGTAAAGAGGCTTCCAAATCCTTAGAATCTACTGAGCAACAGAGATGAAAAGAATGTCTGTTGTTGCTCATTCTAAACTCCTTTCAAACATACCCAAGTTTAGATGGATGAGATGATCCTTGGTGAGCTCCTACCTAACTTCAAGGTGGGGACTGGCTGCCCAAGAGGTCAGTCATGTGATTATGGGTTGGAACTTTCAGGGTCACCCCTAGTTCTCTGTTCAATCACCATAGTCAGAGATAAAGTTACTCCTGTCACATAATGGACCTCTATAAAATCCCAAAAATGGTAGGGATAGGAGAGCTTCCAAATAGGAGAATGCAGCCATATACCAGGAGGAAGGCACACTCAACCCTATGGAGACAGAGCTCCCACACTGGAGACCCTTCTAGATCTAGAGTACCTCTTTAGCTGTACATTAGGTATGCTTTGTAATACATCTGAGATGCTAAAAAAAAAAAAAAAAAACTGACTTAAGAGTTCCATGAATCATTCTTACAAATTGTTGGACCCAAGAAAAAAATGTGGGAAATCTGTAATTCAAGTGCAGTTGGTCAGAAATACAGGTGAAAACTTGAGACTTGCAAAAGGCATGTGAAGTGAGGGCAATCTTGAAGGACTGAACCCTTCACAGTGGGGCCTGTTCCAACTCCTGGCAGTCAGTAAGAGAACTGAACTATGGAACACCCAGCTGGTGTCTGGAGAGTAGGAAAGCTGCTTGGGGTGGGAAGAAAATATATGTTGTCAAAAATGTTGTCCGTAATATCTGCCCAAATAGCAGGTTAATTGACTGTACTGGTTTCGAAGAATCTAGTGATATAATAAAAATTGATAGACATCTATCAATAATACAACTGGAAAGGCACTAGGAAAGTGCAAGAAAGGACTCAAGTACTTCATTTAAAAAGTTCTGAAACAATAACTCAAGGTATTTGTCAAATGTAGACATGATATAATTTCCTTGGTTGCCCTTGGCAAAGAAGCACTGAATATGGCTATTTGTTGCTGGATTGCTCCACTGAGGAAATGGAAATACAAGATCTTTATTAAAAGTGTTCTCTTCCCCCCTCCTCTGTCTCTCTTTCCTCTTTCCTCTCTCTTTCCATTCTTTATTTCTTTCCTGATTGTCAGTGTTAGAATACAGTAAGAGTCCCTTAAATCAAGACATTTTTAGAGGGTCAATGGAAATTCTCAAATTTTAATGAGCATCCAAATCAGATCTTGTCACAATAGGTATTCTGAATGGGCAGTTTCAGGGTGGGGCAGAGTTCCTGCAGGGCTATCAAGTGCAGTGATGCTCCCAATGATACTGCTTCTGCTGGTCTGTGCCCCACACTGGAAATGCAAAATCTTAGCAACGTTTAACTCCAAACAAGAAATCAAGACATAACTTGGGCCTAAATCTCTATTCCACCAGTTAAGTAGTTTGAGGAAGGTTTAAACTATATAGGCCTCAATTCCTTCTTCCTTATAAAAGAGATAATGATGATCATATCTACTAGATGAAATTTTCTGTTTTGATGATTAAATAAGAAAATCCACGTATACCACTTAAAATTTACCTACTAAACAGGATCTGGCTATTTTGTGTTAGCTACTAGAAACTGCTACTTTTATATTTGACATGACAACTATTTGGTGATAATAACTTAAGGTTTAAATATATAGCTTAAACATATAAGATCTTGAAGATGTGTGAATTAACACAGGCAGAGAAGAAAATGATACAACCAGCAAGTAAGAAGAAAAAAAAAAAGACACCTACCTTCTACTTTGCAGTCAAAAGCATCCCCTGCTTCCTCTCCAGGGACTTTGGAGTTAGATTTTTGGAGATCCTCCTGAGCACTCTCAAGACTATCATAAACCCACTCTATGGAATCTTGCTGGAAATGAAGGGGAAAGAAACCTCAGAAGAATTAGCGCTTCCTAAAGTGCACTTAATAAAGCCTGCTTTACATGAGAGTTGACCATCTCATTTATTCCTCTAACTTGTGTAATATTACTAAAATTTAAAAGAGAAAAACATCAACATCAGAATGGAAATTCAATGGCAATTTAATAAAATGACATTTTTCAAGCTTAAATTTCTTTTTATGTAAATTTATTTTCCAAAGATGAGTTTCAAAGAACTGCCTTATATAAATGTCTCAAGTATATCTTAAAATGATATAAATTACACTTTAAATAAGCAGATAATGGATGGACATTTTTTAATGAATCAACTATCAGTAATTGTATAAATCACTTAAATGCCCTCTTAATGATCACATATATTTTAATACATTTAATGCTGTTTTGAATTAAACCAATATATAAACTACCTAAAGCAATTTTATTTCATTTGTTTCCAAGTCATGCAACTGTCTTTTAATTCTTCCATGTCATAAATCATCCTATATATTAATTGAAATAGCAGTTCCAATTTTATTTGGAGAACTAGCAGAGATGAAATGGCTACCAAATGAATGCCTGAAGGATTGCATTACTTTAAGGTTTATATTTTTCCCAGAGAAGATGGTAAATCAAATCAAGCTGTGTCACTGAAATGTGACTCAATAAGTAGTATCCACTTTTGCTCTTGTATCAGCTCCACAATTGTCTGTTACACTGCTATAAAGCATTAAATAATAGTTCAGAGGTTCAGAATGTAGTGTAGATTGGTGGTAGAACGTGTGCTTAGTATGCACAAGGCCTTTGATTCAATCCTCAGCAACAAAAAGAAACAAAATAAATAAAAAATTCTTGCTAACCTAATCACTGTTGTGGCCACCAATGTGCCAAAGCCAAAGTATCCACAGATTCCGTTTTCCCTTCCCACACTGCCCTTGGCCTGGAAATTTTTCCAAAGGGACACTAGTAAGTACCATCCAAGTAGAGGGATTATTGCTGGTAATATTCCCTCCTGAAATCCAGAAACCATGCAGAAAGGGAAATTCTGGTGGAGACTATCCAAAGGGAAGCCATGTGCAGGATTTCTGAAGGCAACCCCACATGTAAAGTAGGATTCCATGAGGTGAGAAAACTCAGGCAGCTCCAGAAAAAGCCACAGAAGCAACTTCATGGGAATCACCACACAGGCAAATAGAGAAAAATACTTACTGCTATTTTAGGCCACCAAGATTTGGGGCAGTCTGTTTTGTTGCAGTAGTAACCATGTTCTATCTACTTTATTGCTCTTAAAAATCATCTCACTGATCAACATCTCTCCCAGAGGCGGGCAAGGAGTGTGACCATGAAAAAATGCAAATATTTCAGTTAGGATACTTAGTAAATTTCTGGTGGAAGGAGAAACCTTTGATAATTTCAGATAAGTCTTCTGAAAAATGCATCCAATCATGTAGTTCAATAAATATTTATTGAATTACATCAATCAGAGAAACCTAGACTCTATGTTAAGTTCCAATTTGCTATGCTAGTTTTGACCTCATTAGAAAGCAGAATTAATAAGCAATTTCCGTGTAAGCACACTATTTTTCAGGACATCAGGCCTATGACAAAACAGCCATTTTTCTTCCTGGTTTGGACACAAAGTCATATTCTCAAATCCAAAAGAATATTTCCCATTCACCACAAGAAAAATATAAAGTCTTGCCTTTAAAAACCCTTCTGCATCTAGATGATTACATTGAGAGAAATTTTTGTTGCAGTCCATTTCTCACTTTTTATCATGAAATAATGAACCCTGCTTATAAATCAGGTTTTGAATTTTATCTTTCCGTTGCACTTAGGCATAAAAGGATAATGCTTAAAATTTTAAACATAGGCAAGTACATTTTCATATCTTCCATTAAAAGTTAAATCCAATTTCCTAAATAAATATATACAAAAACAGACTATAACACTCAAAGTTTTTACTTTTTTATGCAAATCTTGCAATAAAGTGTATTTATAATTCATATATTCAGACAGGTACGCAATGATCATTACATATTCTAAAGCAACCACAAGAAACAGCTCAAACTTTTGTATTTCAATATGATAATTTTTTTTTTTTTGAGGCAAGGTCTCATATGTACTTTTGGTTGGCCTTGAGCTCATTGTGTGGCCCAGGCTGGCCTCAAACTTGCAGCAATCCTCTTGCCTTGGCTTTCTAAATGCTGGGAGTACAGGCTTACAGGAGTGTGCCACCACATCTGGCAACGTGATAAACTCTTATCAAAGTGAATATGAAATCACCCCATAGCACTATTTGAACAAGTACTAATACTGAACCAATGAAATGCAGCCATTTAAACACAATTTTAATTAATAATGAAGGTAGAAGTCATTATGAGATTCACAATGCTGTGATTAAATCTAAACTTAGAACTGGAAACCAGAAACATCTGTGGTGCTATGTCTTCCTGTTCTCGGCCCTTCTAAGCAAGTTTTCAATCAAATTCAGGTAAACTGAAGAGCAATTTACCTTCATAGGACGCCTGTATTTCCTGCAGGCTGTCACATGTGCAATGACACTGGCATGTGACTCTTTGCTGACATTGATGCCGTTTACTTTGATAATACACTGTCCAGGTTGAAGGCCTGCTGCTGCAGCCACAGTACCTTTAAATACAAATGAGAAAATTACCAAAATTGAATTTCAAGATTCATCTTTATCACATACAGAAGCAATTGTAAAACACAATAAAGATCTAGTTAGTATGTTCCTGATAAAGTTGGTTCTGCTAGCACTGCACTTTCCACCTTTTCTCAATTCATCCTTTAAATTATGATTTACAGAATATCTTCCTACCTCCCCAAGAATTAGTTTGAAGGAATACTGCAAAGTGACCTTTACAATGCTATTAGTTATTTTCCTTTTTAAATGTCTAATCAATCTAATTTTCTATATATATATAATATATATATAATTCTAATTTCCACATATATAATAAAAAATCTGAAAGCTATAAACAGGCCTTATCTGTCACTTTTTACAAAATATCTAAATATTAAAATGGTATTGACTTTTTAATACCAAAAAATAATAAGCACATAAAAGTAAATTTTTAAGAAAAACAATCCAGTCAATTTACAACTGCAAGCAGATTGCACGTTTGAAGAAATTTGAGAATTTATGGTGAACAGAATTAAGCAAATAGTATCAATTTCTGATCACACAGTCTGGTTAGACGTGTTTATTTCAGCTAGGAGGAAGAGCAAAGAAGGAAGAACAAAGGAGGTGGTCAGATTGGTCCTGGGATGGAATCCAGCAGCCTGAAAGCAGCTGGGGAGGAATGTGAGAGGATCCCAGTGATGCCGCTAGAGTGATGGCGGAGATCCACCATGGGTAATGCTGGAAAGAATCTCTTTTCCTTATGGCTTCATTTTAGTGTGGAAAAAAATAATAAAAAGCACCAAAACATCGTTTCATTTAATAAACATCTAAGAGGACAAGCACATGGGTATTTCTGTCTCTTACCCTTCAGAAACAAAAAAAGCACAAGGACCAGATTTAGACCAACTAAATTCCAAACATAGAACCTTGCTTTTCAGATGATTTCATGACAGGGGAATAGGTACAACTTGATTTGCTCGGGTTTTCAGTTACTTTCTAGCACTGACCATGGAAAGTGAGCCTTCTTTTGCCTTAGTGAAAATAAAGAAGGTATTTGATGCCATAACATTCCATTTCTATTTTATAACATTTAGTGAGTTATTGGGAAGGTTTACATGTCTATCCTTCTGTATGCTGGGAAACTTTGAGTGAAAAGACAAATTTCTGAAGATTCATTATTATCATATAAACAATAATCTTACAATTAATAAAGCTCTTGGGCTAAGTAAGGATTTAGCTCACTGGTTCCGGTGCCTGCCTCACAAGAGCTATGTCCTAAGTTCGATCCCCAATACCAAAATAAATAAATAAATAAAGGTCTAGCATGTTCTTGGTAATTCTGACAGCAAAATCTCAAAACTTTCCTAATGCCTGAGTAATTATAGTAAGATTCTTCACATTTTAGTAATTTCTAGTTTCATAAATACATAGTTGATTCTAATAGAGACTTTTCTTGCTAAAATCACCAGTTATTTACTATAATTAACAATTTGAGGTTTGTTGTTCCTTTCAATCATTACCAGTGTCATTATAAAACAAAAACATATGTACCAAGAGATGTCAATAGCTGATTTGTTTTTCAAGCAAAAAGATAATATAATGTAAAGAGGTTTTAGTCATTAAGCTAATTCAAACAAAATTTACAGTAGATTTATAGGTATTTCATTGGAACACTTGAAGGAATTATGTAGCAATCAAAATTTACATCTTTGAATTACTGACCCCCAATACAATTACTTACAGTCAAGAAAAATACAAAGAGACCACCTTAAAATAACTATGTCTTTCGGCTAAAGTGAAGCATAGACAATAATGAAATTGAGATGTCATTCTTTTATAAAATTTTAACAATCATAAATATTCCTTAGAATCTTTAAGAGCTTTTAAAATATTGCTTCCAGAATACATTACCCTTGCATTAGCACACTGGAAATAATATGAATGAGAAAATTTATAACAACTTCATTATGGGTATTTTAAAGATATTTCTGTTCTATGAGGCATCCCCAAAACATGCTGGAAAGTTGTTTGCCATGTAAGATAAATTTCTTACCTCTTCCTACGGCATGCACAACAGAAGGGCCAAACCCTCGGATTTGAAATCCGAGTCCATCGGCTGAATCTGGGATTTTGACTGTCCTAAAATCAACCCAAAATTAGGACAAGATTCATTGTAAATTCCACAATAGGTTAGAATGACAGTCATCTAAATCTTTGCTCATTCATTCAATAAAGACATACTGAAGGTCTCCTTTGTGAATGACGCTGTCAAGAAGTCTTTGGAGACAAACATGGTCCTTACCCTCACCAAGACATATCACAGGTACACAATACACTTCCTAAATTGAACACAGTCATTGCCTAGTATATTTTGAAAAATAAATTGGCTCTGGGGCAGATAAACTTCATTTTAAATTGTAAATCAGTCAATTTGAACTTAGATAAACTGGGTAAGCTCCTTCACATTCCACAAGACACAGAAAGTCTCATAGAAACTGTCACAGAATAATAATGCTGTTAAATTCATTTTTCTAGCATCAGTGGGGATAAAAAGAGATCCTGTTGGTAAAACTGCCCTGATGGGGCTATGAGTTAGGTAGCTACTTTATGAAATAGAAGTATCTCTTATGTTATACTTTTACTGTTACAAAAAAGAATGAATATCTTACAAAAAATGTATAAAGATTAGTATGAAATGAACCTGAAGTTAATACCTTCTACCTGTTGAGATCATCATCACAGAACACCAGCAAAGAACTAGTTACAAAGAATAGAGTTGTCAAATACTACACCAAAATAATTCAAAAATATACTTCAGTATTTATATAGTAAGACTCTTGAAGAACAGCACATGAAAGAGTAAACTTGAAAAAGAAAAGGAATATTTTAAAAGCATCCACACTGCAAAGAATGTGAGGATGTCCTATCTGTCACTGATAAATGAGACACTCCAGAGAAGAAAGCCAGACGTCAGATACAATGGAAAGCAGAAAATGTTAGATAAGATGGAACATCATAACAATAAAATATAGTATAATAAATTTCAGTAGAGAGTAAAACCAAATAAATTAACATTTTAAAATTTGATGGATAGAACTAGATGCCCCAGAAACAAAGGTGTTTTCTAAAAAATGAATTAATTTTGAAATAAAAGCTGGAAGACCTTCAAGAGAAAGTTGGATGGAGTCTATGGGGGTGGGGTTTGAGCAGGACTATGGTTTAGAACACTTGAGAAAGTCAACGATTGCCTTTAATCCTAAAGGCAAGAGGCTGGCACTGCACCCTCAAATATATGCTAGGCAGTCACTGTGTGATAAAAAGGCAAATTGTCTGCTCCAGGGAAATGTGAAAGCTTTAGTATAAATCATTTTATACACTGGGAAGCAATCTGCATATTTGCAAGACAGGTCAGTGAATCAATACATGCTCTATCCTTAATTAAATACTTTTTGTTATTTATCCTTTTCCTTTGAATAGCACACAGTTATTAGTATCTGTCAAAAATACAGAGTGAACTTTCATTTCACTGAAAAATGACAGAAAACTAAGAGGAAAATAGAACAAATACATATTCTGGTGAGCATGAAACAGAAACAGGTAGTTCGCGCTTCTTTATATTATGAAAGAGAGTTCACCTTTGCTGAAATAACTTAAAGCTTTTGAGTATGGTGAATTACTGTTGCTTTCAGATTGTGCATAATTCATTGTGGCCTTTCAACCCTTTCTAAGTTCCTTCTATTATACTAATAGTGCTTTGTGCAGTTGAACCTGCTCTTATCTTCAAGAAGGTTGCTATATTTCTCTTCCCAAAAACTGTACACAGTGTTTTTCAAGTTTGGAACCAATTATAAATTGTGTCCAGTCAACTTCTAGTATCGGAAATTCTTATAGCTCAACGTGTAGTTCTTTATTCTCAAGTGTTCTACCACTTTTCTCACTCACAGTTAAACCCAACACAGAATAGGAATATTTGGGTGGCAAAGGAAAGTATTTTTTCCATCGAAACTAAGGGATTCAAGCAGCAAACACTTTGCCACTATAAGCAATGAAGTTTTTGCTATCACCTAAGGACCAGTATTTGTGATGCTGGTAAAGTTTCAATGTTAACTTCAATGACTTTTCTACTTTATTCATCTATGCATAATTAAAAAAAAATACAAGCATACAACTTACTCCCTTGGCTTTGTGCTCATGAGAATTCTCAGAGGCTTTCTGCTGTTTAAGCACGATTTCAGGAAGCAATCCACTTCATTGAAAGGTCTCATAAAAACTAGGTCACCATTAATGGCAAAAATCTTTTTCCCAACTTCCATGCCAGCCATCTAAGAGAGAAATGGACAAATAATTCAAATGATAATTTAATAAAGAATCTAGGTTCTCCCAAAATTAGAATCTGAAAAGGTTTAGAGCTTATAGGTTTTGATACTTGAAAGACATCTGCAGTGTTTTTATATAAATCCACACAACAGAACTATGAATGAAATAACATAGTTCTCATTGTCCCTGGCCGAGTTTCAAACTTGATTTCACAAAGTTGTTGAAATTCTTTCCCCTTCCTCTCTGACTCAGCACTGTTTGTATTCCTCCTTGAAACTTTTTTTCTGTTGTAGCTTTCAACCCCTGCATATACACGAGGTGCAATCAAAACATAGCGTGAATGTTTAAATTTTAAAGTATTTATTACGGTAAAAGACACACTGCCTTTCATCCTCTTCAAAACACCATCCTTCACCTCAAACACACGTATCCCATCACTCTTGCCACTTTCTGAAGCAGTTCTGGAAGTTCTCTTTTCATCGTATTGCTTTTAATTGTATTGCCTCAATATCCTAAATCAATTCAAAATTTTCATTTTTCATGGTCATTTTTGACTTTGAGGAAGAGCCAGTTGTCATATGGTGCCAGATCTATCCAGTGGATAAGGTGGATAAGGACACAGCACACTGTTTTTACAAACCTGTCTTTCTATTGAGTGGCATTCAGCAGCAGCATTCACTGTATTTCAATCGCCCCTTGTAAAGACACTCATGGATATTTTCCCCCTTGATAAAAGAAAGTGAACTCTGAGCTACATCCCTAGCCCTTTGTTTTGATATAGGGTCCTCCTAGGTTACTAAACTGCCTAGGATCCTAGATTTCTGGAATTGCAGGTATGCTGCAACATACCCAGCTCTGGATGCTATTTTAGATTTTCTTCTGGCAGTACTGGGGATTCAACTCAGGACACTCTACACTGAGCTACATCTTCAGCACCCCTTCCTTTTCATTTTGAGACATGGTCAGTCTTAGGTGTCCTGTAGGTCTTACACCTATGATTCTCTTGCCTCAGTCTCCCTCAATGCTAGGATGACAGGCATGCACCACTGCACCCAGTTCAGACTATTTTTAACCAGCCCTACTGCCTACAAACTTCTTTTAGCTGTTAGCTAAATGATGAACACTGGGAGAGGACATTTTACCAGCCGCATAGCCATATGAAGCTGTGCCCTAAAAGGATCTTCTGAAAATGCCTGGGAGAAAAATCTCCTTCTCTTAGAAAATCACTAGCTGTGGTCACTGATTGACCAGGTACATGAACAGAATATGAGCCAAGCAGAGTTATTCTGTTTGAATTGAGTGTGCTCTTAAAGCTTTAATGAATGTGTGTTTGAGTAAAAGAGACCTCGGGCATTAGTAAATAGGAGGATGGGTAACAATTTACCACTAACTAAATGAATTCAAATTTATATTTCCCTAATTTTCTCATTCTTCATTAAAGATCTGAATGTTGAGCTGTTTGTTTGAGGATTAAGTATTCTGCAAGTCAGGGAGCAAGGCAATGATATTTTAGACCTGGTATACTTGGAATACAGCATGGAAAAATATGCTTCATTAGGTTAGGGAGTTTTGTCTATTTTGCTTATTGCTGTATTCCAGAAGCCCAGAATACTGCTTAGCATATAACAGCAATTCAATGAAGATTTTGAATGAAAGAGTGAATGATCAGTAGATTCTTCTGTTTAAAAGCCCAGTGAAGTGAGACAATGCCAAGCAGCATCAACCCAATGAGAAAATAAGTCAAAGCATGTGCTTCAATAATGAAAATCACAGTCACAAAAAAGACAAAGCAAAAAAAGACAAAGATTAGGAAAATATAAAACAGAGCCCTTGACTGGACAGAAGAACCCTATGACATACATAGGACCATCAGTCACATCCCAGGCGGCCCCCACAGGGTTTCACTTGGAGTCTTTGGCCAGGGAAGTGCCAGGAACAAATATTGAGCCACCTGGCCTGCTTGTAGGTCAAAAAGTTCACAGCTATAGTCTTCTGGATAGCACCCTCTCCTCAATTATCCACGGGCACTTAACAAAGGAGTCGTCGCCAGAAATACCAAGGGCAGTTGGTAGAACCTCAAGTAAAATTATCCAGAGACACTGTCTTCAATATTTGATTTCAATTTCATTACAACTTTTATGTTTGCATATCATGAAAACAAATTTGAATAAATGTTAATTTACATTACCTCAGCATTAGACCCCCTTTCTACCATCTTTATTATTGGAACTTTATTTTTGTCTTCTAGCCCAAAGCCATAGCTACCTTCATTAGATTTAACCTGAAAAAAAAATTAACATTATTGACAAAGCAACTATGCAAAACTTACAAATAAAATAGAATGAAGTAGTATTCATCCTATCATCAAATATGTAGTCTCCTGTTAATGTCTAACAAGAAGAAAACACACCAGGAAAAGTATTTGGTACTTACATGTGTGATTTATTTATTTCACTTAAGAGTATGACAGTGTGAAATAGGAAGAAAAGGGCTAAAGGTGTAGGGGAAGTGGGAAGGGTAGGGGAAAGGAAATAAGGGACAAGAAAAAAATCTGAGAAAATGAAAAAATGGAAATAAAGTGTTTGTAAATAGGGAGAGGATGAGGGGGTGAAGGGAGGGCAGGGGTAAGGGGAAAAATGAGATGTCATGTAAAAAGCCCAATGATGAATTTAACTGTACTGTACACCTAAAATGTACCAATAAACTCAATGAGAAAAAAAGAACATATAAAATTAAGAAACTTACCAGAAGAGATTTAGCTATAACATTTTGCACAACTTTTAAATCATGTTTCATGAGTCGATACTTCATATTTGATCCTTCCATTTCCTCATCCGAAAAAAAACGGAAAAGCAGAGGTTCATCTTTGAATTCACTTTTTTCAAGAACTATAGAAACAGAGATTTAAGTTGTTTCAATTAAACTGAAAAATCAAAATCATTTTCTATGCCAAAGACATAAATATCGGTTCATAATTTCAACTTTTTATTCTTTGGACATATTAATTATAGATTCTACTTATTTCTATAATTTCAAGATAAAACCTTTAAAATACTGTTGCCTAAAGGTTTTTGGATTTTTAAATAAATACTATTTTCTATTGATAACTTTTTTGTACTTAACCAAGTCAGTCATTGTCCAGAAAAAAAAAAAATCCAAGTTTAAGTAAATGATTATAGTGAATCCTAAAATGCATGAAATCCTAACTGAAAACTCTTTTGTGTTTTCAAGTTGCAGTGAAAATTTTAATCATGCATTTAATACCTGCACAATTATAGGAAAATTAAAATAGGTTAAGTATCATCCTTCTAGAATATGTGAGCAACTTTCACTGGGATCACTTTGGTTCTAACATACCAAACCAGAAATATGTCTTCTGGGTAAAATGTGATTTTTAATTCCCATGAACTCCTAGTTTTTTTTCTGTTAAGAGCACTTTTCTCAAATCATCTTATTTCTACCCAGGTCCTTTTGACCTCTTTATCTGAACATTAGTAATTTTTTTCAAATCCCCTAAGGTTCCTGGCACGCATTGATAACATAAGGTTTATGTTATGTTTGTCTAGTTCAAACTAAGGTTAAATAAGGATGGGAAGAAATTAAGTTGAATGAGATCTCAGCAGCTGTCCAAATGCTTTAAAAGGGAAATCTCTATTTCCAATTCACATGTCCTCAGAACCTTGAAGCATACTTATTGGGACAGGTTGATTCACAGAGACAAGAGGGTGTGTGACAATGGCAAAGTTACTTAAACTCTCTGAACTTCAGTTTCTCATCTGTAAAATGAGGGCAATAAAATCTCCATGATGATGCATTAAACTAAAACAAGGTAAGACATGTAAATAACTTGTCATGTGGTAAATAATCAGAAAAATGCAACTATTTTATTTCATTATTTTTACGGAATTCCAACAGATAATTGTTGACCAAGGAGATGGACTGGCTGGCAACATGAGTTACCCAATAAATCCATCAATCTCAAAAGAAAAGGGAACACAAGCCATGGCTGAAAAAAAATGAAAATATACTTTGTGTTGAGTGAAGTCTTGTCTAAATGCCCTAAGCGGTTTCCTAAGCTCACACGATGTTTCTGCTACAGCTGTTTTCCTCCTCCAAATGATCCCTCAGAAGGGACAGGAGAGGGCATCAATACAGCCAGGCAGGAGTCAATGGGTTGTATTTCACCGATAGACTTTTGTGGGAATAATTTTTACTATTACTGAGTTTTTTATAATAAGTGATTATATAAAATTATTACTCACTGATGCTTTATGTTAAAGAGAAAAATAGCTGAAGCCTTTGAGGGTTTTCGGCTTGATATTAGTTTTAATAGCCTAAAATGTTTCCATCTCTTCCACTCAATAGTTTGCTCCTCAGGTATGAGTATTTCCCTACAAAACTCACACAGTGGTCTAGACAGAGTTAGACAGTATGGAATTCCCCATGAAACACATAGCAGCCAAGGATGTTTTCAAACTGCTTTCAAAATAAAAGTATAGTAGTCTTCTGAAAGTAACTGAGAATCATACAAGTGCTATTAAACTTATATTTATGAGCATATTAGAGTAACAATGGAAAAGAGAATGTTTTGATTTATGGACTCTATAAGATGCTATGCATTGAGAGGAAAATCCACATCTTACTACTCTGATAAATCCAACAATTATATTGCAGAAACAAAACAAAACAGAAACTTTTGCTTCATCATAGGGAGTATGTAACTGTACATGATATATTTTGCTTCCTTTTTCTCTCACCCCCCCCACTTTGACCCTTCTTATTTACAAAAGCTTGGTTTCCACTTTTTCCTTCTTTTTTTCTTGTCCCTTCTTTCCTTTCTCCTTCACCCCTCTCTTGTTCCCCTTCTCATTTGAACATTTTCTTCCCATTTCCCAGCATCTATTATGCATTTTAGTCCTTATTTCCACTTTCAGTTTCTCACACCAGAATGACAATGAAACAATTTTGTCTGATTTATTTCACTTAAGAGTATGGTCTTAAGGTCCATCCATTTAGCTATGAATGTCTCAGGCTCATCCTTCTTTATGGCAGAGTAGTACTCCGTTGTATAAATAAACAATTTCTTCTTTATTCAGTTATTGGTTGATGGGCATTTGGGCTGTTTCCAAGATTTAGCTATTAAACATTGTGCTACTAAATGGAATACTACTCAGCCATAAAGAATGAGAAATTAGAATCATTCATAGGAAAATGGATACATATTGAAGATATACTCCTAAGTGAAATAAATAAGTCACACATGTATAAATACTGAATGGTTTTCCTGGTGTGAAAAACTATAATAGTACATAATATCCTAATGAGATAATTAACAATGTGAAATAGGAAGAAAAGGGCTAAAGGTGTAGGGGAAGTGGGAAGGGTAGGGGAAAGGTAATAAGGGAAAAATAGGAGAAAATGAAAAAATGGAAATAAAGTATTTGTAAATAGGGAGGGGAGGGAGGGGGTGAAGGGAAGGCAGGGACAAGGAGAAAAATGAGAACCAAGACCTGTCATGTAAAGGTATAAGATCCCAATGAGGAGTGTAACAGTATTGTATAACTAAAATGTACCAATAAACTCAAAAAGAGAAAAAGAATTGTGCTACTAGCTGGGTGTGATGGCACACAACTGTAAAAATCTCAGCATTCAGGAGGCTGAGGCAGGAGGATTGCTGCGAGTTCGAGACCAGCCTGGGCTACATAGTGAGTTCTATGCCAGTCTCAACTATATGGTGAGACCCTGTCTCAAAAAAAAAATTATGTTGCTATAAACAGGGAATGGTATATACTATTATGGTATGTGCTTTATAATGTAGCCAAAGACCCCATAGAAAAAAGAGAATTGATTTCTTTTTTTTTTGGTACCAGGGATCTAACTCAGGACCTTGCGCTTGCAAAGCAGGCAGTGGAACCACTAAGTTAAATCCCCAGCCCTGACAATTGATTTCTAATGTCTAAAAAATATTTCTTCAGAGGCTATAGTTTAATTTTCTAAGGTAATTTTTGAAAATATTTTCCTAAAAAGAACAATAAATATCAGTCACATATGTTCTCATTTAATCATTCTACCACATACTGTCATTCAAAAACCCATAAGTGTAACCGGAAATCAATTCAAAGAAGTGCATGAACTTTTTATAAAACACAACTCCTAGCTCAGATCATTACTCTTCTGGAATCAGCACAGTCTAAAAAAATAAAAGAGAAGTCAGAACAATTCGTAGATAACAGCAATAAAGTTGCAAAAAAATTAATTGCAGGTGATTAATAAGGACCCATGATAAGGCAGCTCGATAAGGACCCATGACAAAACCCACACAGTGTGGCTGGTTCCTCCTGACCTCACTGGAGCCCTGAGATATTCCCAAGTCCTAGGAAGAAACACAACAATGTAGTACATCTATCCCTACCATGATGCATAAATCCACTGTCACAGAGCGCGGTGCCAAATATCATTGCCTCTTCTCTAGTGCGGCAATCCCCCTGTAAACAAAAAAGCACTACATCAGTTTATAGGAAAAAGAAGCCTTGCTGCATCTTTATTTTCTTTTTTCCTTTCTGACATTTTAAGAAATCACATCTTATTTTATGCTATTTCAAGAATTCATTATGTTTTAATCAACATGTCAAAGCAACACATTGTGATTCTATTATCCATATCGTATATTCATATAGTCTCTGTCTGTTTTTGGCTATGTTTATTTTTTGGTACTCGGGATTGAACCCAGGACCTTGGAACAAAACTACATCCCTAGATCTTTTCAGTTTCTTTTTAATTTGACATAGGATCTCACTGAGTCACTGAATTACACAGTCTGAACCCTGAATTTGAGATCTTCCTGTCTTAGCCTCCCAGAGTTCTAGATAATTGGCGAGTAACACTGGCTCTGCTTACTTCTTGAATGCATTTAACATTTATATCATTATATTCAAACAAAGCCATTCTAATAGAGCAGCACCAATTGCTACATAAGACAGGATGCATCTAACTCATGAAATGAATTACATTCACTAATGAAAACATTTGCTTAATATGAGCATCACACAAAAAACATTTAATACTTCTTGAGAAAAACATTTCATTGAATATGAAAATATATAACTCTAAAACATTCTCCCTATTATAAATTATTCCTTCTGGTTATTTCTTAGGTTTTATACTACAAATAAGCAACAGGGAAATGCCTGTAAGTTGATGCCACAGTATACTAAGACAAGTTAAAATCATGGTACGTGATTTTGGCCACTCACTCTTCCTTCCCACCAAATGTTCTTGCTCTTGAAGGGGCCCTAGAGCAACCTATTAATCTATGGTGACTTGTAAGACCTTAAAAATAAATTGTTTGGCTGAGCCAGAAAATGCAAGCTTCTCTTTCATTACGCTGTTAAAAAAAAAAAAAACCAAAAAATGGACTGCGCAACTGAACCCAACAAAATAGCTCAAAGTAGCTCTTTCATATGGTTTTGATCTAGAAACATCTACTTCATTAATATAAGTATAAATCCTTGTACCCATATGAACATGTATGTATCTGTGTGCATATGTAACCTCAAAGTTGTACTTTTACACTTAAGCTCTTTTTTAACATATTATCTCATTTTTCCTACTCTTATTTTTTAATATCTAGGTACTCTACAAACCTATTCTTTCTGTTATCTGTTCCATTTCTATTGTCAGTGCTCTAAACTGGTGGGGTTTTTTTTATCCCTTATCTAAATTGCTATTATTTTTTCTTCTACTCTCTCTAGAATATGAATTATAGAATCAGATTTTCTTACATAGAAGAGCATCTTCTAAAACGTAAGGAAATCCTATTTTTAAAATAATCATAGCATATTAAAATTTTCTATTGGTTTTACAAGACCATCCTTGTTACTGTTTTATAATCTCCCAAGCTTTACTTTCCAAAGCTTAAAACCCATCCCATTTACTTTAGTCAGCTTGTCCTGCCCACCATTGCCTGGACACTTTCATTATCATCATTGCAGTCACTCAAGTAATTTCCATATTTACAGTCCCGATCTCACCATGCTGCACTCATTTCAATTCTACCTGTCTGTCTACAAACCACCAAGATAAATTCCAGCTCATGCAGTGAAAACTACAGCCCTAAAAACTCCCAAAACATTTATAAACTGTGGCTTCAGACTGTGCATCATGCACTCTTCAAATATCTAGCTATTTCCTAATCTGATGAACTCATTCAAACAATATTTCTATTTTCTACATATTGTGATAAATACTACAGCTCAAACACAAAACATTTTCCTACCTTCTATTAATTTGAATCTAGTAAAGGATTTTGGTCACTTAAAAAGTGGTACATAGTAAGTATCATTATCTATATTACTCAATATTCCCAGTCAGGCAAATACACCCGGAGAAATAGGACCACAGAAGACCCTGAGCCCAGGGTTGTAAAACTTGTAAGGTTTCCTAAGGAGATGATGCTTAGGCATGATTTTGGAGGAAATATAAAATATTACGTCAGCTGACCAATAGCCCCTTGAAGGCAGACGCCATGCCTACTTCCTATTTTGTTGCTTTGTTTTATTTTAATCATCAAACCACTTGTTTAAATGTTAAGCTTATAACAAGAGCTTGCTCACTACTTGTTGACATTTGATTATTTTGATCATTCAAATGTTACACTGGACAGATCAACATTATAAAAGACATGCAAAACTATTATCTGAAATGTTTTTGTTTTCTCTGTGTTTTTAAAATTCTTATTGATGCCAAAAAGATTTGGTGAGCATTTTTCTAAAAGGCCCAACAAAAACTGCTTGGGTGGAGTAAAGCAAGAGATTGCTAAATAATAAAATATAAGTGATGTATATACAAATCAAAACTTACACAAATTAAATGATGTTTACAAGTTTAATTGCACTTGTCCAAGGAGGAATTAACTTCATAGAAAAAGTTAATTTATTACAAACCATTGTACTAGAAGTAGCACATGAGAAGTAAAAAATGCATAATGAAGAATATGTCATTATATTTTCCAAGATGATATCACCTAATACTTGCAGAGAACTACAGGATCTAAACTATACCCCAAAATAACAATATACACTAATACACTGGAGCCAGCTCTTTACTCTCATCCTGTAAATCTATCCAAATCAATTGAGTCAATACAGGTTCATACTGTAAGTTATCATTTGAGAGTCTCAGTGGAAGGAGAACCTTACTTTATTAAACTTGGAAACAGCCCATTTGCCCATCAGTTGCAGACTAGATAAAGAAGATGTGTTTTTTCTATAAAATGGAATACTACTCAGCCATAAAGATTGAGAAATTAGAGTCATTCATAGGAAAATGGATACATAGTGAGGACATAGTCCTGAGTGAAATAGTCATACAAGTATAAATACCGAATAGATTCTCTGGTGTGAAACACTATAATGGTACATAAGATACTAATGATATAATTCACATTGTGAAATAGGAAGAAAAGGGCTAAAGGTGTAGGGGAAATGGGAAGGGTAGGGGAAAGGTAATAAGGGAAAAGGAAAAAAAGCATGAGAAAATGAAAAAATGGAGATAAAGTATTTCTAAATAGGTAAGAGAGGAGGGGGTGAAGGGAGGGCAGGGATGAAGAGAAAAAATGGGAACCAAGTCCTGTCATGTAAAGGTACAAGATCCCAGGAGCCAGGGATTTAGCTCAGTGGTTCGGAGCAAGGACCCGAGTTCAATCCCCAGTACCTTAAAAAAAAAAAAAAAAGTACAAGATCCCAATGATGAATGTAACTGTACTGTATACCTAAAATGTACCAATAAAATCAGTGTCTTCATAAAAAAAATCTCTTCTTCATATTAGATTAAGAACATTCTCTATCTTAACATTCCACTGCTGTGTCTTCCTCTTCCAAGGCAGGCCATGCTGTTGTAATTTGAAGGTAAGCAGTAAGAGTCAAGTATGTCTCATACTTAAATCTGAATGAATTTTACAATATGAGTCATAAATCCCATTGACAGATGAAAGACAGCATGTACAACTACTCCAGTAAGTAGCCAACAGCTGTAAAGCTACAGTCCAAGAGAGGTGGACTGACTTGCCTAAGTTTGCAGTTGTCAGTGGAGGTGGCAACTGATATTAGGTTACTTGAAACTCACTGAAGTGCAATTACTACCACATACAATTTTATAGGCATTGTCATCAAAGACTACTAAGAAAAAAATAAAGGAAACATAATTTCAGTTTGGACCAGTTTTTGTGCAACTTATTCTGTTCTTCTACTGCTTGCCATTGGAAAGTAAAAGAGCAAAAGAAAGCAGATTACTGACATGCTGAGTTAGAACTTTAAATGTTTATTCAACATCACCTTTTGCCACAAATAAATGTTCTATAATTTTCTTAAATAATCAATGTGTTGTAAAAATTCATGCGATTCTACAACAGTACAATTTCTGTCTGAAATACCAATTCTGACACTGAATACAGAACTAAGTCCAGTGACAATCATACTGTTATAAAAGGCTCTTATATCAGTAAAACCATTGAATACATGAATTAGGGTTTTACTTCTAAGTAACTGGTTTCATTTCAAACTGTAATTGTAATAGTGACAGTCTTGAACAGTCTAGAAATTAATACTAAAAAAACATAAACATCATAGACAAACCAAACAGGGCTTAAATATTAATAAACAAAATATTTTATGATGAACTATCAAATGCTATTATATACTTGTAACAAAATACAAGAGTACTTCTTTAAAAACAAGAGTAAAGCTGCTGAAGAAACTGACTTAAGTATCCAAGTGTAATGATTTACATTTCAACCAAGCAATATCCTCTCCCCAAACAGTACAACTAGTTAAAGTGGGTATCAGTTTTTCAGCCTTTTCTTTAATCAATGGAATGTAGTCATTCATTTATTAGTTGACCTAGTAGAAGACAGTATCTTAATAAGTTTTTATTTAGGTAGCTACGGTGATGAACCACACACCTTAATTTGTTTTATGTATAAAGAAATTACATTTTCTCAATACCAGTTGTCAACATCAATGTCAGAAGGAGAGCAACAATAACAATGAAACCTGTACTCGTCTACTTAAAATATACATTAAAGCTCATATCATCAAAGCACAATTGCTATCTAACAGGGAAAAAGATACAGGAAGATTTTAATTGTTTGCAAGGACTAATAGATACTTAAAAAAATAAGTAAAAAATACACAAATCATTAGTATCTGAACATAATAATTCTTCAGTGATACTCAAATTATGATTAGTGTTTTTTTGGCAAATCTCAGCTGTTATTTTAAAAATAGGAACATCCTACTTTTGAAAGACAAGTATCACAAAAAGTTAGTTTTGGAGCTCTGAAGTTAGACATTCTAAATTAAATCCCAATTCTGCATGAACTTGGGAAAATTGCTTTACTGTATTTTATCTTTAAGATGTTAAGGGTGAAGGTACATAATTCACATACACATGCTCAAAGTTTAAAGCAGCAGTCAATAAAATTCAGCAACTTGTCTATTTACCTGTGCAATTAACCAGTCTATGAATTTGTTGGCCATGACCACAGATTTGTAGGTCCTTAAATGGTAATCTTTGTCTCTATAAAAAAAAAAAACAAATAAAAATGTGATATGCAGAAATTTAACAATGTTATAAAAGGATATGTAATCACAAGGAAATATTTTCATTTAGTGCCAATGAGCAAGAGAAGTTTACCAACTGCCCAGGCTAGGTGCAAAGAGTGCGGCTTGTAAAACATGTACAACACCTGAAAGGTATTTCATCAGTTCAAACAAGGAGAAAAAGACACACAACCACACTAAAAAAAAAAAACCACATCTTTTCTTTCACTTTCCTGGATACAAATAGACAGATTATTACTGCTATGTCTGGAAATAATTTAAATATAAATACAATGTCTTATTAGTAAAACAGAACTTTGTACCTTAAATTGTGGCAGATTCTGCAAAATAAAAAAAAAACTTCAAAATATGGAGAATAAAGCAATTCCCTTTTCCTGCTTCTGTATTCTTCAGGAAGGCAGGATTTGCCCTGAAGAAGTATTCACGTGGCTCTGCTCTCATGGGAAGCCTGCAGGCTTGTCATGAAGTAGACACACTGAGAACTTGTCATTCCTTTTTTCTGATCAGCTGGGTCATGGACATGGTGAAACCATATGCCCAGTGAACCACCTTACCATACCAGACTACCCATTCAGCAGACTGCCCCAGAACTGAGAAATCATTCAAAGTGTAGTTAGATAACAACAAAGTCTCATGATCAGTTTTGGGCCTAAGGGCAGAAATCTATAATGCATTCATTTTCCAGGCATGGATCAAAAGGGAACAAGAAAACCATGGTTGTTTGAAGATGTCAAAATATGCAAACTGTGAAACACTTGAAGTGACTAGAAATTACTAGCTATATTCATTGTTTTTAGCTCCTGCCAGTAATTTACAATTAACATTTACATCCTTTTTACTTACTTGTATAAAAACTCTGAGGTATGGCTGAAATTTATGAGATTTTAATATTAAGTGAATAAGCTTAGCCAGTAATGAGTGAGAGTTTTTTTTAATCTTTTAAACCTATTTCCATGTTTCTGACATAGCATTACTCATTTCACACTAGTTTCCATGAGCATCAATAAGACAAAAGGGTAGTCTACCGTAGAGCACGAGTGCGCCTGGGTTTCTTTACACCGCATAATTTTTTTTATAAGCTGAAGTCATCCCTATTACAAGTATGATTATCATAAATTCCATTTGCTTTATGGGTTCTTTCCCCTTAATTACTCCCTTAACAACTAATAAACAATTGGCTTTTCTATCCAGAGAATAATTCCTTCTTAGCTCAGGTAACACATCCCATATGGATAAAACATTTTTTCAGAGCACATGTTCACATGTAGAAAACAATGTACTATGACATGGAGGCCTGAATGTTAACTAAGTAGTAAATAAATTACTGTTTTCCTTTTCACTTAGCACAAAAAAATAAGTACTCAGTTGCTATGAAGTATTAAATATTACTATTAATTTGCTATTAAGTATTTGTATTAAGCTATCCAAAATATGTGAAGGTTATCTTCTTATCTCTAAGAAGATTATGGAATAAAATTATAAATATTCATTTTTCTGCCTCTTTCTACTTTGTAATAGTAGACATTTCAGGAGTAATGGCTAAAAGTCTGTGTTGTCCTCCAGGACCTGTACACAGTGCTTTTACACAGTGTGAAAGTGGATACCAAAATACTTAGCAATTTCTGGAATCTCTCTCTCTCTCTCTTTTAAATTCAAAATTTCCATGGAATTTAAAACCAACATGGAAAATAGAAACACTGAACACATTAAACATTTGGATTCCATAGCCAACACTGAAAAGATGTATTTATTCACTTCAGAAATGGTACATGCATTTTTCTTCTGGAAATAAGATTTTTTCTGACAATATGATTAGCTTACAAGTAAGCTCCTAATAATATCTACTTATTTGGAATTAATTTAACCTTGCATCAGTTAATGTTCATGTATCTGTGTGTATTGCAAAAATAAATTCCTGACAACATCCTCTATTAGTAATCATAATACAAAACTCAAAATCTTCCTTTGTCTCTCTAAAGATATAAATTAAAAATTAACACTTGTTCCTCTTTTAAAATATTTCTCTTCACAAGCAAAAATATACTAAAGCATAAAATTATGAAAATATATTATGAAAATATATTAACTTGATTATATTTATTACTTGATTACAAAATTTAATTAAAAATAAGGTTTCTTAATGGTAAATATGGAGAATAAACAGTATATCCAAATCTTCTCCCAGTCAACTATTTTCATTATGTAAATGTGAATGTGGATTATCTCATTTTCAATTCCTTCAGTGACTATAAATGAATAGCAAAATAATTTTAGAAAATCACAATTTATAAAGCAGAAGATGCTTTAAAATTAGTCTCAGAAAAACTTAGGGCTATTTTATTTTAAGTGATTACTTAAAATAGTATTTGAAAGTTAAATTTTCATTTTCAAAGACAAATAAAATAAGACAAGTTCTAATATGCAGAATAAATACTTCCACTGAAATTCTTGGAATTTAAAAACCAGACTCACCTTATTACTGGAGTAAACAGACTATGAAGACGACAATATAATCTCACACCCTGTGTGAAATATAGATATATCAAAAGCATGTAAGAGCACCAATGTCAACAAAATTTTGAAATAACAAATGAATGGAATCATTACACAGTCTCATTAAAAGTTATTCAAATGATACAATATATCATACAAATAATGACTAAAATCTTTTAAAAAAAGATGAATCTTGCATGAATTTGTCATTTATATATGACATATGCAACTCTTTCTAAATTATTTTAAATATAAAAATTCAAGACACAAAGCAAGAGAAAACCCATATAGAAACAAATCCAGGATATGCATTCATTATGTCAATATAATTTTTTTCAAGTGTACAATAAAAACTAATATTACATTTTTTATATTTGTATTTTAAAAATTTATTCCAGTATCATGATCAAATGTTGCTATATACCAAATAGTTTTCTGATTGTGAAAATACATAGCATAATTTCCATTTAGACCTTGATAAGAGAATGAAAAACTGACCTAACACTGAAAATTTGGAGGGAGCAGGGGTACCGGGGATTGAACTTGGGACCTTGTGCTTGTCAGGCAGGCAGTGGAACCACTAGGCTAAATCCCCAGCCCTTAAAATTTCTGAAATACCAAAACAAAAAGTAAAAGAGACTTGTTATATTTGTAATTTAAGAATTTTCTATACTGAAAGAAGATTTGTAAGTCCCACTACACCTCCTTATTATTCCCAAGTATTATAAAACCAATTCTGCCTCTGAAGAAATACTAGGAGAAGTCATTACCTTTGAAATCATATCCTGCATCTCATTTCTTGGGTAATATGTACCATCATCATAGCGGAATCTGTATAACATCTGCTCTGGCTTAAATTGATGTTTATCAGTAACTAAAAACACAGAAAAAATATATTAAAATAGTGACATCTAAAAAAGTGTCAGATAAAACTCAAATAAATGTATGTAGTACATATTTCCAAATACTAAAGCTCTTAGTTTTACAAAGAGCTTTTGTTTCTCTAATACAGCAATGCCAATTCTGTATCATTACAGTAAAATTAATGTTTTGTCATTTAATATACTCATAATTTTCATATAATGATTTGAGAACTAAATTGAGGTTACTAATATTCAGCTAGCCTTGCATGTGTGTGCATGTGTGTAAATACACAAGGCTTTGTTTTCCAGTTCTTCAAAATACCACAAAACTGCACTTTGAAAAGCAGACAGTTCTATTGGTGAGCCATAATTTGATTCTTGGCCCAGGAAGTGAATTTTAGTATCTCACTGCCTAATCACACTGTAATTAAGCCAAGACCACACATATACCAATCTTGACCACTTACCTTGTTTTAGACCTGCAGAATGGATTAAATTTCAATATGTGAGATTCCAAAATTTTAAGTTTTTAGACTGAAAGCTGCTTTCCTAAAATGTCATTCAATTTTTTTTTTCTTGGTGGAACATGAAAATGTTCATCTTTTATTGCCATCCTCAGGATATGACTTTAAAGATTCTCCTACTCCCAGGACTCAATGTTTTGACTGGTAAAGTCTCAAAAATTGGTAAAAGAACAAAAACACAAAATGGATAAAAACCTTCTCAATCTCTACCAAAAAAGTTGAAGAGAGAATAACACTTCCAAATTCATTTCACCAGGTCAGATGAGGGCACCACAAGAAAATAAAATTATAGGCCAATATACCTGATGAACATACATGCAAAAACCCTCAACAATTCAACAGGATATAAAAAAATCAGAACCATAAATCAACCATAGGTAAATCAAGTAAGATTTACCTATGGGGTATAAGGATGATTTAACACTGACACACCAGTAATTAGGATGCACTGTATTAACAATGTAGATAAAAATCATACATTGAGCTTAACAGAAACAGAAAAGCATTTGACAAAATGCAGCATTCTTTTATAATAAAAGCTTTCAACAAATTTAGCATGAAGGAATATCCCTCAACAGAGTAAAGACTATATATGACAAGCGCACAGCTAAGGCTACCATCTACAGGTAAAGTTGAAAGCTTTTCCTCTAAGATCAAGAATAAGGCAAGGATGGCTACTCTCATCACTCTATTAGCTGCTAGGGAGGTACGGTTAGTAGCAAGTTCCTACACTTACATCAGGGAAAGCTGCAGCCCTTTTAAAAACAACTAATAATGTTAAAGCTCTTTCAGTGGTGTTCTTTTGTTTTCAGAGAAGGCCCTCCAGGAGAAAACACCAGGAGACTTCCTATACCTCCCACCTCCTAAGTGACCAAGAGTAAATTTATAATCTTAGTATAATGGTAAATTCTCAGCTGAAGAGGAGTTCTGTTGGCCATTTTTAAATATCCAAGGCATGAAGAAGGATGATCTCAACTGAAGAATTGTACATGCTCAGGAATGTACTGCTTCTACCTGTGATGTTAAGCCTTTCCTGTAAAAATATGCATAAAATTCTCCAATGAAAGCCCTTTGCTTCTTTGTTGGGGAGATGTTTTACTTTAAGAATTGCCACCAGTATTCTTTCTATAAAGGACAAACCCATTGCATCTGTTCTTATTTCTATTCAACACAGTACTAAAGTGTCAGCCAGAACAAGATAAGAAAAATGTAAGGCATCCAAATGGAAAGGAATAAAAACTGTCTCTTGTTGCATATGACATAGTCTACATACAGAAAATCTTAAAAACTATCTGAACTAATAGGTGTAATAAACTATTAGAACATTTCCATGAAGGAGCAGAATACAAAAATCAAACTACAAAATTCAGTAGCATTTCTATATGCTAACAATGAACCACTCAAAAAAGAAGAAAACTGCCTTATTTATAATAGAATCAAAGAAATTAAAGAATAAATTTGATCAAGGAGGTAAGATCGATATATTGAAAACTATAAAACACCGATGAAAGAAACTGAAGACATTAATAAATGTAAGTACATCTTATGTTCACAGATTGTGTCCATACTAATCAAAGTGAACCGCTGAAAACAATCTCTGTCAAAATTAAAATGGTATGGTTCACAGAAATAAAAATAAATCCTAAAATTTCTAGGAAATCACAAAAAATTCTGAATAACCATAGCATTCATGAGCAAAAGGAACAAAGCTGACTTATTATACACTTGACATCAAAATACACTACAAAGCTTTACTAAACCATGGTCCCAGATTAAAAAGACATAGGTTAACGGAATATAACAAAAATCCCCAAAATAATACCAATCATTCAGGATCAACTAATCTTCAACAAGGCTGCCATAAATGTACAACAGGAAAAGACAGTCTCATTAATGAACACATCAAGAAACCTGGATATGTACATGTAGGAGAATAAAAATAGAACTTTATTTTAAACTATATATAAAATCAATTTAAAATGGGTTTAAGGACTTAAATGTAAGACTTGAACTATAAAACTACTCCAAAAAAGAATAGAGAAATAGTTTGATATTAGTCTGAGCAATGATGTTTTCACAGGACACCAAAAAGGCAGGGAACAAAAGCAAATATAGCCAGTTCTGACAGAAAATAAAAATCAACAAAAGAAAAAAGTAATTTGTGGAATAGGAAAAAATATTGCAAACTATACATCTGATAAAGTTGAATATCCAAAACATATAAGGAACTCATTCAGTGCAATATAAAAAATATAAATAACCCAATTGAAAATGAATGAATGACCTAATAGATAAATTTTAAAAGAAATTCAGAAAGCCAAAAGGCATCTCTAATCATAAGGAAAATTGCAAAGCAAGACATAATGAGTTATCCAAAAGGGTAAAGATAAATGATGAAAGTAGAGGAAAAAAAGGGATTATTGTACTCTTTTAGTGAGAAATTAGTGGAAATACTTTGGAATATAAAATGGAATTCCTCAAAAAAATTTAAGTTGGACAATTATTTGATCCAGTAGTCTCACTTTAGGGTTTACGTCAAAAGAAAATGAAATTAGTATGCAAAGAGAAATCTACACTCTCATGTTCACAACATTACTCACAAGAGCCAATATGCTTAATCAACATAGGTGTCCATCAATGGATGAATGGACAGAGAAAATGTACTTTATGTACAGTATGACAAAAAAATGACTGTTCTAAAAGGTAAACATTTCATAATAAAGCTCAAATACATTGATTTAAATATTTTCTATACAGCAAAGTACAAAATTTGCACAAAGATAATTTGTGCAATGAGCTATACTTCATGATTAGGTAGACGACTTTGACCTTTACCTTTTGCTAGAAATGATGAAAAGGGGGGAGACAAGCTGTCAGAATTAATTTTCCTTAAGAACATTTGGTGAATCCAGAAGAATATCTAAAGGCTTTAGTAAGTACGGATGCACACACAAACTCATTTGAAGTTCAGCTCTTTTACTGAGCCCATGCAAACCCTGTGTGGGGTTTGTGGCCATAAAATGGACTCAAGGTTCTTTTTCCCTACACCTTCTTAAAAAAAAGAGACAACAGAGCCTCTCAGCATTTTTTTTTTCTGAATCAACCCATCAAGAAAATGGCATGTGTGAAAGAAATAAAATTAATAGAAATATTTTGAAATTCTTTTGCATGTTTTAAAATCAGAAATTTATTTCTCCAATGAAATCGACCTATTCCCATTTTAACACTTAAATATTCTATTAATTATTATCATGATATTACAAAATTCAAGAACACATTGGGTCCAAAAGTTTCTTACCACAATAAAACAAGGAGTAGTTTCACTTATTCTAAAGGGAATTTTTATTGTGAGACATACTCCCGTGACTGAAAATTATACTCTTACAGGCTACTCTGCATCCCTTAGCTGTTGCCTGGAGGAAAAAGTGAACAAGTCTGTATTCAAATCCACTGTACCAACAGGTGCCTTCTCTAGCATGGTCAGTGGACCACCTAACAAAATTTCAGGTCATCTGGTGAAAAAAGTTGACTAATGTAATCTTTTAGACCAGTCTGTGAGAGAATCAAGGCCATGGAAGAGTTGGGGGGAAGATCCCAGATTTGTATCATTGGCTAATTTCTGTGGTATAAATACTCCTACTCTGACCAATTTTAAACTGCCAATTTGAAGTTCCTGAATGTGGAGTTAATCACACAGTGCTATACCATTACACAGTGTTTGCCACATAGAAATAATAAACACAATGTCCAGAGAACATAAGTAACAGTAAAACTAGTTTAATAATCATGAAATGTGAAGTTTCATGAATGTGTCACCCCTGTTAATATAAGTAATCAATGTATATACAATTTCAACATTAATAATAATTATGCTTAACCAAGCAGTTTGCAAAGTGTTTTTCATTATCAGCTCCCAAGAGCTTGTACAATATGAACCAACTTCAGCGCACTGTATGATACAACAAATCAGGTTTCTGAATTCTCACAGAAACATTTATACTGGAAACAGTGGAGTTGGACATAGCATGGAGAAAGCATACATTCCTTCAACCCTAGACTTCCTGCTATAGGCAAGGCACTGCCTCCTGTGAAGTTCTTAACAGTATTCCCAATGTAAATAACAGCAAACACAGTCAAATTTTTTCTTGCTTGCGGTTTTTAAGCAGATGGTTCATTCAACTTTATTTTAGGTATTCTATTTTCACTAAAGTGCAACTGGAACGACATATAAAGCCAGCGCATTTGGCTCACATATTTTCATTCTTATAGAACTGCTCCCTTAATGCAAAATTGTTCATATGTTAGAACCTAAAAGAACCTAGCATAAAGCATGAAGGAATTAGCAAGAAAAGGAATAAACAAAAGGATTGCAGAAATAGTTTATTTCCTTTTTTGTTATACATTGGTAATCCATAGTCCCTAAAAGTACATGATCAAAGGGAGAAAAGAATTGGCATTTATGAAGGTTAATTGACAGCACACAAAAATTCTGTATGCCACTTACTTATGTGTCAAAGGAGCACGAAGAATTTATAAAAGTTAGAGCTAGAAATATTGATTGCCCTGATTTCAACATATATATTGTAAACCTGTATAACATTACCACATGGTACTTTATAAATATATTTATTTAGTATATGACAATTTTAAAAAATAAGTGCAGACCATTATTATTCCCAAATACATACTTGGACTTGGGGTTAGAAGAAAGGAAGGAATAAAAAGAAAAAAGCTGACTTGCTCAAGATCTTTTCATTTCTACTTTGTTAGAAGACCTTTCTAGTTCACAAAATACTAGAAGCATTTATTTGTTTTGTTTTGGTACCAGGGATTGAACTTGGGTCCTTGCACTTGTAAGGCAGGCACCAGAACCACTAGGCTAAATCCCTGTCCCCTAGGAGCATTTCTATAATGCTTTAGATGTTTCAATGATGCTAATGAATCAAATATAGCATCATATATAAATTATAAATATTATTAACTCATTCAAAATATAAGAATACACTTATTCACTCAGCAGATATTTATTGGGAACTTATAAGGTGCTGGGCCCTCCAGGAATATGCTATATAAGATAAAAAAAAGGCTTCTGTTCTTATGGTACTTATGTATTGATTGGAGGGCAGTGAAAGGGAGATTGAAAAAGAAGAAATAAAAAACATGGTAATTTCAGAGAGTGAGAAGTGCATGAAGGAAATTTTTAAAATTAAACAATTAGAACGTTGGAATAATGAATACTGGAGGGCCCTCTAAAAGTCAGAATGTCATGGAAATTATGAGTTATAAATACAGGGATTTTTGTCATTTCGTTTAATGCCCTACAACAAGAACTTGGGAAATTCCTTGCCTATATTAAGAATTAGTAAATAACTGTTGAATGAGAACAGCAAGAGCCTAAATAAGAAGTCATCTTTGAATGTTGAAGGAAGAGACAGAAGACTAGGGTGACCGGAGTATACAATTTAGGCAAAATCTAAGTGCCAATCTCACAGTGAAGGTCAGGTGCCTTAACATGCAGTTTCATGAGCCATGGGAAACAGCCTGGGCTCTCATGTAGGTTTGATGAGAAGTCATTAGAAAATGATAAGCCAGGGAATCTTTTGATCTTTTGCCTGTTTTAAAGGGAATCTTTGACTGTTTCCTGGAAAGTGTACTATAGAGGTAGGGAGCAAAACGGAAGCAAGAGAAGAGTTGATGGAAACAGAGGATGATGGGGATTCTGGAAGGGAGGGAATTGAAGTCATTAGGGAGGTGATTCCTAGTGGGTAGATGGTGACACCAATCACACAGGCAACATTCAGTGCGGGTGATGAAGTGAAGGGATTTGTCTTGATTGCACATCACCGTATCTTAAAAAGGACATGAACATAAAGTTCCATAGACAAACACCTACTTTTTATAATTGTCTTTTTCTCCTTCCGCCAATCTTACATTAGAAATTCTTTCAGCTTTTATCCTTAGTCTTGTGAGCACTGCTTTCTTGTTTTTGCATTTGTTGTTGATGCACTCAGGGATCTGATACTCTCTTGATATGATTCTGAGATATGACTCTCACCTTTCTTTTTCTTCTTTTTTCTTTATTGGTACATTTTAGATATACAATACAGTCACATTGGGATCTTGTACCTTTACATGATATATCTTGGTTCTTATTTCCCCCCATTCCCCTGCCCTCCTCTCACCTTGTTTCTATCCTTATCTGTCCATTCATTACAGCTGTGTTGGATGTCACCATCCCCTTGTCTCATACCCAGTGCATAGCAAACCCTTCATCTCTCTCAAGCCTATTCCTCTTCCTGAATTAACTATCTCAGACATCTAAATCAGAAAACTTAGACTATAATCAGATCTCTCTCTCTTCATTCTTCATTCTCCAACAAATAGCTATCAAATGTGCTGATTCCATTTGGCCAGAATCTCTTACAGGGGCCCCCTCTTTTCATGGCCAAGGACAAGGGACCTCCTGATGGGCTTTGTGCTCTGTAGTTTCTATCTTTTCCATTGTCAGCTTGATAATGCTGTGTGAACCCTCTCCAGTTAAAGTCTAATCACTGCTTAAAAGTATCCATCAGCTCCTGACCTCAGAATAAGCCCACAAACCACAGACAGAAGGTTCCGATCCTCTGGGATCAGACAGATGTCTGTGCAACTTTACTGCCATAATCCCTTCCCTGTACACTGGTCTGTAGAAGACATCATCTAGCCACATGAGACTCCATGCTAGTTCCTGAGAAGGCCACCATGCATGTCCCCAGTACTATCCTTGTGTGCTACCATTTCCTCAGAAAAGTAAAGTGGCCCAAGTACATTAGGGAGCTTCAAACATGCACTAATAAACACATTTTTAAAAAAGCGTGACTTGCTGCCCCCATGAAGCGCTCACACATACTCCAGTTACAACAGGTCATTTCTGCCTCCACAACCCCATAGCACTTGGCTGTATTTCTAACTCCTGACTATGTGGTAGCTCTTTTACTATTAAAGACTGGGTCACCAGAAGCTCACACTCCTTGAAACATTATTCTTTATCAATTAGGTACTAAAAATGTTGATGGGAAAGTCCTTTAATGTGGAAAATTATAAACTAATTGATCAATGGAATTAAGGTACAGGCTGGGAGATAGGAAGTAACTTAGTAGATTAAGATACAAGCAAATTTAAAATATCCAGATTAAGTAAATAAAGGACTAAAATAATTACCATGATGGATAATTCCATTTTCTAATAATGCTTGTCCCAAGTGAACACCTTCCTCAGGCTTGTGAATTTCTCCAATCTCCAACAGCCATGACACAAACTCACTACAACAGAAAACCAGTGAAAGCATTAAATCTTACCTCCCTGCTCTCTCATCAAAAATATCTGCACTATGTAATCATGAAAGAACTATTTAGCAAGTCTAAAAATATAAAGAAATATTTGCAATGTATTTCAGTAGGTATTTTTCCATTTATATTAGGTGCACAGATAGAGAATTTGGGATCTGTTCTAGAAAACCCACGTTCATATACTGAGACGTTTCTGAACTATATTTAATGTACTATTCAATTTGTTGAGGCTTCTACTAAACATAAAATGAAAATATCACTGTCGCTTTTATAAAAGTACTCTCCATATAAAGGCAAATGGTCATATAGCATCATTTAAAGAATAAATCTGAAGAGATTTTATAAATAAAATATGTTATGCATATTTTTAAAAAATCTAACATTTGAACTTTTACATAAGCTCATTCATTTATCTTAGACTGGTTTTCTGTTTTGCACAGAGCCCAGAGAATCAATGCTAAAAGAGCATCAGGAAATTAGATTTCCATTTTCTTCAAAAGCAAAGATAAGACAAATGACTAAAGTCAAGTAAAGAAGGGATATGATCTCTACGACTGAATTGTCTAGCCTAAGAAATACATTTTTCCAGGTGTGTGGTACCCACATGTAATTCAGCACTCTGGAACCCAAGGAGCAAAGAACATGAGTTCCAGGCCAGCCTTCACTACACAGCAGTTCAAGACCAGTCTGAGATACATAGCAAGACCTTGCCTCAAGAAAGCAAGAAAGAAAGACACCTTAAAGCAGGAAAGGTTGTTAAAGGGGCTTTTATTCTCTTATTAAATAAGAATCATCCAAAAGAGAGGTCAAGAATAAAGGAAAGAGCAGAAAGAGCAAGAGAAACAAAAGAATAAAGAAAATTAAACAGGACAGGAGATGTAAATTAAAGTATAATGGTTACGATCATGTACTTTGCAGTAAGAAAACCCAGATTCAAATCCTGTTTCTTCTTCTACTTCTGTGTAACTTCTCTCTCACCCTCAATTTTTCCATCAATAAAACGAGAGATAATACCAATATCAGAGTGTTGTCAAGGGATTAAATGATATCATGCATGGCAGGAACTACATACAGTGCACCGGGAGATCTTACCAAATTTCAGCAGTTGATAAGTGAGTTGAGACAGCTGCTATGTAGCTAAAAATCATAATTTCCCATTCTGAGATTACCAGGTTTTTTAAAATGCCAAATTCAAATGAGGAAAACTATTTAAATATTATCATAAATTGGGATTTTTTTAAATGGGAGAGAAAGAAGTTAGGAAAGGAAGTAAACAAGGGGCTTTATCGGGACACTTCCTCAAGTAGTGGAGATGCTGGCAACATTTTGCTAAAGGATCATAGTCACTCAGAAAAGATCTCAAACTTGGGCTACAGTGCAGCACTGGAATACTGTTAGGGATAGGCCCCCGCTAACACTCCCAGGCTGATCTTAGGTGTCAAATGCTCTGGAACATACTTTACAACTACTAGCACTATGATCATGAGACAGTGTGAAGAAAGGATTGGCCAAACCCCTATTGATACAATTAGGGAAAACTTTACTCATACTAACTTGTTAAATCTGCTCCCCTTGACATCTGATCACCTAATGAAGGTAAGATGCTAGCACTGCTATGGTAAAAATGATTCCTGATGGCTACACTGCATGCCTGTACAATCCCGGGGAAGCCATAGTTTGATGTAACTCTCTTACATGTGAGTATATTCCAGTGGGGACCCCGCATCTATGACAAGTCGGGTCAACATCAGTGCTTTTTGCTGCCTAAGAGCTATCAGCTGGGGGGCTGCCAGGAGCTGCACTTCTGGGCAGCTGTGTCGCCTGCTGTGAGGCTCACTCCCTCTGAAAATAGCTCAAGCTGCCCTGCAGGCAGAGGTTTTCCTGGTCCACATATTCCAGAGTTGGAGTTAGAGGCAAATGTGGCCTATGGTCATGTTGCAACTACCCACAGCTAGTTAAGAAGATATCTCAATAGGCATTACAGATAAGCAGTGCAATCATCTCTCCATATCTTGAGGTGAAACAGAAATTTAACTTTCCCAATGATAGCCAGTGGGAGCATCAAGATTTGATCAGAGAGTTTGACTAAAAGTCTGAACTTTAACTACAACTCTAGTCTACTTTTGTGGAATCAACATTGGCATCAACTGACGATATGAACTTGTAAAGCTCCCTGATCCACATTTCCTGTATCTTTTTTTTTTAATCTTTCTGGGTGTATTTTTTTCTTTTTATTGAGTTTATTGGTACATTCTAGGTATACAATACAGTTACATTCACTGCTGGGATCTTGTACCTTTACATGACAGGTCCTGGTTCTCATTTTTTCCCCTTGTCCCTGCCCTCCCTTCAGCCCTCCTCCCCTCCCCATTTACAAACACTTTATTTGCATTTTTTCATTATCTCATATTTTTTTCTTTTCCCTTATTCCCTTTCCCCCACCCTTCCCACTTTTCCTACATCTTTAGTCCTTTTCTTCGTATCTTTTAGAAGTGATTAACTCCTAAGAATGTATCCCAGGATCAGCAATTATGTGGTTAATGCAGTCTTAATTAAGAGCTACCTGAAGCAGCTACCCTCTCTGGTGGCTCTATACTAATTAAACTAGACAGGGAATCCCACTTAGGACTGTCCAAATAAACCAAATGATACATACTTCCCGGTGTCCAGCCCCTCACAAGACTCACTTTCTCAGATTCTTCATCTATGCCTCCTCATTTGCAGCCCCACAGTCTTTTTTTTTTTTCTTGGTGGAACATGAAAATGTTCATCTTTTATTGCCATCCTCAGGATATGACTTTAAAGATTCTCCTACTCCCAGGACTCAATGTTTTGACTGGTAAAGTCTCAAAAATTGGTAAAAGAACAAAAACACAAAATGGATAAAAACCTTCTCAATCTCTACCAAAAAAGTTGAAGAGAGAATAACACTTCCAAATTCATTTCACCAGGTCAGATGAGGGCACCACAAGAAAATAAAATTATAGGCCAATATACCTGATGAACATACATGCAAAAACCCTCAACAATTCAACAGGATATAAAAAAATCAGAACCATAAATCAACCATAGGTAAATCAAGTAAGATTTACCTATGGGGTATAAGGATGATTTAACACTGACACACCAGTAATTAGGATGCACTGTATTAACAATGTAGATAAAAATCATACATTGAGCTTAACAGAAACAGAAAAGCATTTGACAAAATGCAGCATTCTTTTATAATAAAAGCTTTCAACAAATTTAGCATGAAGGAATATCCCTCAACAGAGTAAAGACTATATATGACAAGCGCACAGCTAAGGCTACCATCTACAGGTAAAGTTGAAAGCTTTTCCTCTAAGATCAAGAATAAGGCAAGGATGGCTACTCTCATCACTCTATTAGCTGCTAGGGAGGTACGGTTAGTAGCAAGTTCCTACACTTACATCAGGGAAAGCTGCAGCCCTTTTAAAAACAACTAATAATGTTAAAGCTCTTTCAGTGGTGTTCTTTTGTTTTCAGAGAAGGCCCTCCAGGAGAAAACACCAGGAGACTTCCTATACCTCCCACCTCCTAAGTGACCAAGAGTAAATTTATAATCTTAGTATAATGGTAAATTCTCAGCTGAAGAGGAGTTCTGTTGGCCATTTTTAAATATCCAAGGCATGAAGAAGGATGATCTCAACTGAAGAATTGTACATGCTCAGGAATGTACTGCTTCTACCTGTGATGTTAAGCCTTTCCTGTAAAAATATGCATAAAATTCTCCAATGAAAGCCCTTTGCTTCTTTGTTGGGGAGATGTTTTACTTTAAGAATTGCCACCAGTATTCTTTCTATAAAGGACAAACCCATTGCATCTGTTCTTATTTCTATTCAACACAGTACTAAAGTGTCAGCCAGAACAAGATAAGAAAAATGTAAGGCATCCAAATGGAAAGGAATAAAAACTGTCTCTTGTTGCATATGACATAGTCTACATACAGAAAATCTTAAAAACTATCTGAACTAATAGGTGTAATAAACTATTAGAACATTTCCATGAAGGAGCAGAATACAAAAATCAAACTACAAAATTCAGTAGCATTTCTATATGCTAACAATGAACCACTCAAAAAAGAAGAAAACTGCCTTATTTATAATAGAATCAAAGAAATTAAAGAATAAATTTGATCAAGGAGGTAAGATCGATATATTGAAAACTATAAAACACCGATGAAAGAAACTGAAGACATTAATAAATGTAAGTACATCTTATGTTCACAGATTGTGTCCATACTAATCAAAGTGAACCGCTGAAAACAATCTCTGTCAAAATTAAAATGGTATGGTTCACAGAAATAAAAATAAATCCTAAAATTTCTAGGAAATCACAAAAAATTCTGAATAACCATAGCATTCATGAGCAAAAAGAACAAAGCTGACTTATTATACACTTGACATCAAAATACACTACAAAGCTTTACTAAACCATGGTCCCAGATTAAAAAGACATAGGTTAACGGAATATAACAAAAATCCCCAAAATAATACCAATCATTCAGGATCAACTAATCTTCAACAAGGCTGCCATAAATGTACAACAGGAAAAGACAGTCTCATTAATGAACACATCAAGAAACCTGGATATGTACATGTAGGAGAATAAAAATAGAACTTTATTTTAAACTATATATAAAATCAATTTAAAATGGGTTTAAGGACTTAAATGTAAGACTTGAACTATAAAACTACTCCAAAAAAGAATAGAGAAATAGTTTGATATTAGTCTGAGCAATGATGTTTTTACAGGACACCAAAAAGGCAGGGAACAAAAGCAAATATAGCCAGTTCTGACAGAAAATAAAAATCAACAAAAGAAAAAAGTAATTTGTGGAATAGGAAAAAATATTGCAAACTATACATCTGATAAAGTTGAATATCCAAAACATATAAGGAACTCATTCAGTGCAATATAAAAAATATAAATAACCCAATTGAAAATGAATGAATGACCTAATAGATAAATTTTAAAAGAAATTCAGAAAGCCAAAAGGCATCTCTAATCATAAGGAAAATTGCAAAGCAAGACATAATGAGTTATCCAAAAGGGTAAAGATAAATGATGAAAGTAGAGGAAAAAAAGGGATTATTGTACTCTTTTAGTGAGAAATTAGTGGAAATACTTTGGAATATAAAATGGAATTCCTCAAAAAAATTTAAGTTGGACAATTATTTGATCCAGTAGTCTCACTTTAGGGTTTACGTCAAAAGAAAATGAAATTAGTATGCAAAGAGAAATCTACACTCTCATGTTCACAACATTACTCACAAGAGCCAATATGCTTAATCAACATAGGTGTCCATCAATGGATGAATGGACAGAGAAAATGTACTTTATGTACAGTATGACAAAAAAATGACTGTTCTAAAAGGTAAACATTTCATAATAAAGCTCAAATACATTGATTTAAATATTTTCTATACAGCAAAGTACAAAATTTGCACAAAGATAATTTGTGCAATGAGCTATACTTCATGATTAGGTAGACGACTTTGACCTTTACCTTTTGCTAGAAATGATGAAAAGGGGGGAGACAAGCTGTCAGAATTAATTTTCCTTAAGAACATTTGGTGAATCCAGAAGAATATCTAAAGGCTTTAGTAAGTACGGATGCACACACAAACTCATTTGAAGTTCAGCTCTTTTACTGAGCCCATGCAAACCCTGTGTGGGGTTTGTGGCCATAAAATGGACTCAAGGTTCTTTTTCCCTACACCTTCTTAAAAAAAAGAGACAACAGAGCCTCTCAGCATTTTTTTTTTCTGAATCAACCCATCAAGAAAATGGCATGTGTGAAAGAAATAAAATTAATAGAAATATTTTGAAATTCTTTTGCATGTTTTAAAATCAGAAATTTATTTCTCCAATGAAATCGACCTATTCCCATTTTAACACTTAAATATTATCATGATATTACAAAATTCAAGAACACATTGGGTCCAAAAGTTTCTTACCACAATAAAACAAGGAGTAGTTTCACTTATTCTAAAGGGAATTTTTATTGTGAGACATACTCCCGTGACTGAAAATTATACTCTTACAGGCTACTCTGCATCCCTTAGCTGTTGCCTGGAGGAAAAAGTGAACAAGTCTGTATTCAAATCCACTGTACCAACAGGTGCCTTCTCTAGCATGGTCAGTGGACCACCTAACAAAATTTCAGGTCATCTGGTGAAAAAAGTTGACTAATGTAATCTTTTAGACCAGTCTGTGAGAGAATCAAGGCCATGGAAGAGTTGGGGGGAAGATCCCAGATTTGTATCATTAGCTAATTTCTGTGGTATAAATACTCCTACTCTGACCAATTTTAAACTGCCAATTTGAAGTTCCTGAATGTGGAGTTAATCACACAGTGCTATACCATTACACAGTGTTTGCCACATAGAAATAATAAACACAATGTCCAGAGAACATAAGTAACAGTAAAACTAGTTTAATAATCATGAAATGTGAAGTTTCATGAATGTGTCACCCCTGTTAATATAAGTAATCAATGTATATACAATTTCAACATTAATAATAATTATGCTTAACCAAGCAGTTTGCAAAGTGTTTTTCATTATCAGCTCCCAAGAGCTTGTACAATATGAACCAACTTCAGCGCACTGTATGATACAACAAATCAGGTTTCTGAATTCTCACAGAAACATTTATACTGGAAACAGTGGAGTTGGACATAGCATGGAGAAAGCATACATTCCTTCAACCCTAGACTTCCTGCTATAGGCAAGGCACTGCCTCCTGTGAAGTTCTTAACAGTATTCCCAATGTAAATAACAGCAAACACAGTCAAATTTTTTCTTGCTTGCGGTTTTTAAGCAGATGGTTCATTCAACTTTATTTTAGGTATTCTATTTTCACTAAAGTGCAACTGGAACGACATATAAAGCCAGCGCATTTGGCTCACATATTTTCATTCTTATAGAACTGCTCCCTTAATGCAAAATTGTTCATATGTTAGAACCTAAAAGAACCTAGCATAAAGCATGAAGGAATTAGCAAGAAAAGGAATAAACAAAAGGATTGCAGAAATAGTTTATTTCCTTTTTTGTTATACATTGGTAATCCATAGTCCCTAAAAGTACATGATCAAAGGGAGAAAAGAATTGGCATTTATGAAGGTTAATTGACAGCACACAAAAATTCTGTATGCCACTTACTTATGTGTCAAAGGAGCACGAAGAATTTATAAAAGTTAGAGCTAGAAATATTGATTGCCCTGATTTCAACATATATATTGTAAACCTGTATAACATTACCACATGGTACTTTATAAATATATTTATTTAGTATATGACAATTTTAAAAAATAAGTGCAGACCATTATTATTCCCAAATACATACTTGGACTTGGGGTTAGAAGAAAGGAAGGAATAAAAAGAAAAAAGCTGACTTGCTCAAGATCTTTTCATTTCTACTTTGTTAGAAGACCTTTCTAGTTCACAAAATACTAGAAGCATTTATTTGTTTTGTTTTGGTACCAGGGATTGAACTTGGGTCCTTGCACTTGTAAGGCAGGCACCAGAACCACTAGGCTAAATCCCTGTCCCCTAGGAGCATTTCTATAATGCTTTAGATGTTTCAATGATGCTAATGAATCAAATATAGCATCATATATAAATTATAAATATTATTAACTCATTCAAAATATAAGAATACACTTATTCACTCAGCAGATATTTATTGGGAACTTATAAGGTGCTGGGCCCTCCAGGAATATGCTATATAAGATAAAAAAAAGGCTTCTGTTCTTATGGTACTTATGTATTGATTGGAGGGCAGTGAAAGGGAGATTGAAAAAGAAGAAATAAAAAACATGGTAATTTCAGAGAGTGAGAAGTGCATGAAGGAAATTTTTAAAATTAAACAATTAGAACGTTGGAATAATGAATACTGGAGGGCCCTCTAAAAGTCAGAATGTCATGGAAATTATGAGTTATAAATACAGGGATTTTTGTCATTTCGTTTAATGCCCTACAACAAGAACTTGGGAAATTCCTTGCCTATATTAAGAATTAGTAAATAACTGTTGAATGAGAACAGCAAGAGCCTAAATAAGAAGTCATCTTTGAATGTTGAAGGAAGAGACAGAAGACTAGGGTGACCGGAGTATACAATTTAGGCAAAATCTAAGTGCCAATCTCACAGTGAAGGTCAGGTGCCTTAACATGCAGTTTCATGAGCCATGGGAAACAGCCTGGGCTCTCATGTAGGTTTGATGAGAAGTCATTAGAAAATGATAAGCCAGGGAATCTTTTGATCTTTTGCCTGTTTTAAAGGGAATCTTTGACTGTTTCCTGGAAAGTGTACTATAGAGGTAGGGAGCAAAACGGAAGCAAGAGAAGAGTTGATGGAAACAGAGGATGATGGGGATTCTGGAAGGGAGGGAATTGAAGTCATTAGGGAGGTGATTCCTAGTGGGTAGATGGTGACACCAATCACACAGGCAACATTCAGTGCGGGTGATGAAGTGAAGGGATTTGTCTTGATTGCACATCACCGTATCTTAAAAAGGACATGAACATAAAGTTCCATAGACAAACACCTACTTTTTATAATTGTCTTTTTCTCCTTCCGCCAATCTTACATTAGAAATTCTTTCAGCTTTTATCCTTAGTCTTGTGAGCACTGCTTTCTTGTTTTTGCATTTGTTGTTGATGCACTCAGGGATCTGATACTCTCTTGATATGATTCTGAGATATGACTCTCACCTTTCTTTTTCTTCTTTTTTCTTTATTGGTACATTTTAGATATACAATACAGTCACATTGGGATCTTGTACCTTTACATGATATATCTTGGTTCTTATTTCCCCCCATTCCCCTGCCCTCCTCTCACCTTGTTTCTATCCTTATCTGTCCATTCATTACAGCTGTGTTGGATGTCACCATCCCCTTGTCTCATACCCAGTGCATAGCAAACCCTTCATCTCTCTCAAGCCTATTCCTCTTCCTGAATTAACTATCTCAGACATCTAAATCAGAAAACTTAGACTATAATCAGATCTCTCTCTCTTCATTCTTCATTCTCCAACAAATAGCTATCAAATGTGCTGATTCCATTTGGCCAGAATCTCTTACAGGGGCCCCCTCTTTTCATGGCCAAGGACAAGGGACCTCCTGATGGGCTTTGTGCTCTGTAGTTTCTATCTTTTCCATTGTCAGCTTGATAATGCTGTGTGAACCCTCTCCAGTTAAAGTCTAATCACTGCTTAAAAGTATCCATCAGCTCCTGACCTCAGAATAAGCCCACAAACCACAGACAGAAGGTTCCGATCCTCTGGGATCAGACAGATGTCTGTGCAACTTTACTGCCATAATCCCTTCCCTGTACACTGGTCTGTAGAAGACATCATCTAGCCACATGAGACTCCATGCTAGTTCCTGAGAAGGCCACCATGCATGTCCCCAGTACTATCCTTGTGTGCTACCATTTCCTCAGAAAAGTAAAGTGGCCCAAGTACATTAGGGAGCTTCAAACATGCACTAATAAACACATTTTTAAAAAAGCGTGACTTGCTGCCCCCATGAAGCGCTCACACATACTCCAGTTACAACAGGTCATTTCTGCCTCCACAACCCCATAGCACTTGGCTGTATTTCTAACTCCTGACTATGTGGTAGCTCTTTTACTATTAAAGACTGGGTCACCAGAAGCTCACACTCCTTGAAACATTATTCTTTATCAATTAGGTACTAAAAATGTTGATGGGAAAGTCCTTTAATGTGGAAAATTATAAACTAATTGATCAATGGAATTAAGGTACAGGCTGGGAGATAGGAAGTAACTTAGTAGATTAAGATACAAGCAAATTTAAAATATCCAGATTAAGTAAATAAAGGACTAAAATAATTACCATGATGGATAATTCCATTTTCTAATAATGCTTGTCCCAAGTGAACACCTTCCTCAGGCTTGTGAATTTCTCCAATCTCCAACAGCCATGACACAAACTCACTACAACAGAAAACCAGTGAAAGCATTAAATCTTACCTCCCTGCTCTCTCATCAAAAATATCTGCACTATGTAATCATGAAAGAACTATTTAGCAAGTCTAAAAATATAAAGAAATATTTGCAATGTATTTCAGTAGGTATTTTTCCATTTATATTAGGTGCACAGATAGAGAATTTGGGATCTGTTCTAGAAAACCCACGTTCATATACTGAGACGTTTCTGAACTATATTTAATGTACTATTCAATTTGTTGAGGCTTCTACTAAACATAAAATGAAAATATCACTGTCGCTTTTATAAAAGTACTCTCCATATAAAGGCAAATGGTCATATAGCATCATTTAAAGAATAAATCTGAAGAGATTTTATAAATAAAATATGTTATGCATATTTTTAAAAAATCTAACATTTGAACTTTTACATAAGCTCATTCATTTATCTTAGACTGGTTTTCTGTTTTGCACAGAGCCCAGAGAATCAATGCTAAAAGAGCATCAGGAAATTAGATTTCCATTTTCTTCAAAAGCAAAGATAAGACAAATGACTAAAGTCAAGTAAAGAAGGGATATGATCTCTACGACTGAATTGTCTAGCCTAAGAAATACATTTTTCCAGGTGTGTGGTACCCACATGTAATTCAGCACTCTGGAACCCGAGGAGCAAAGAACATGAGTTCCAGGCCAGCCTTCACTACACAGCAGTTCAAGACCAGTCTGAGATACATAGCAAGACCTTGCCTCAAGAAAGCAAGAAAGAAAGACACCTTAAAGCAGGAAAGGTTGTTAAAGGGGCTTTTATTCTCTTATTAAATAAGAATCATCCAAAAGAGAGGTCAAGAATAAAGGAAAGAGCAGAAAGAGCAAGAGAAACAAAAGAATAAAGAAAATTAAACAGGACAGGAGATGTAAATTAAAGTATAATGGTTACGATCATGTACTTTGCAGTAAGAAAACCCAGATTCAAATCCTGTTTCTTCTTCTACTTCTGTGTAACTTCTCTCTCACCCTCAATTTTTCCATCAATAAAACGAGAGATAATACCAATATCAGAGTGTTGTCAAGGGATTAAATGATATCATGCATGGCAGGAACTACATACAGTGCACCGGGAGATCTTACCAAATTTCAGCAGTTGATAAGTGAGTTGAGACAGCTGCTATGTAGCTAAAAATCATAATTTCCCATTCTGAGATTACCAGGTTTTTTAAAATGCCAAATTCAAATGAGGAAAACTATTTAAATATTATCATAAATTGGGATTTTTTTAAATGGGAGAGAAAGAAGTTAGGAAAGGAAGTAAACAAGGGGCTTTATCGGGACACTTCCTCAAGTAGTGGAGATGCTGGCAACATTTTGCTAAAGGATCATAGTCACTCAGAAAAGATCTCAAACTTGGGCTACAGTGCAGCACTGGAATACTGTTAGGGATAGGCCCCCGCTAACACTCCCAGGCTGATCTTAGGTGTCAAATGCTCTGGAACATACTTTACAACTACTAGCACTATGATCATGAGACAGTGTGAAGAAAGGATTGGCCAAACCCCTATTGATACAATTAGGGAAAACTTTACTCATACTAACTTGTTAAATCTGCTCCCCTTGACATCTGATCACCTAATGAAGGTAAGATGCTAGCACTGCTATGGTAAAAATGATTCCTGATGGCTACACTGCATGCCTGTACAATCCCGGGGAAGCCATAGTTTGATGTAACTCTCTTACATGTGAGTATATTCCAGTGGGGACCCCGCATCTATGACAAGTCGGGTCAACATCAGTGCTTTTTGCTGCCTAAGAGCTATCAGCTGGGGGGCTGCCAGGAGCTGCACTTCTGGGCAGCTGTGTCGCCTGCTGTGAGGCTCACTCCCTCTGAAAATAGCTCAAGCTGCCCTGCAGGCAGAGGTTTTCCTGGTCCACATATTCCAGAGTTGGAGTTAGAGGCAAATGTGGCCTATGGTCATGTTGCAACTACCCACAGCTAGTTAAGAAGATATCTCAATAGGCATTACAGATAAGCAGTGCAATCATCTCTCCATATCTTGAGGTGAAACAGAAATTTAACTTTCCCAATGATAGCCAGTGGGAGCATCAAGATTTGATCAGAGAGTTTGACTAAAAGTCTGAACTTTAACTACAACTCTAGTCTACTTTTGTGGAATCAACATTGGCATCAACTGACGATATGAACTTGTAAAGCTCCCTGATCCACATTTCCTGTATCTTTTTTTTTTAATCTTTCTGGGTGTATTTTTTTCTTTTTATTGAGTTTATTGGTACATTCTAGGTATACAATACAGTTACATTCACTGCTGGGATCTTGTACCTTTACATGACAGGTCCTGGTTCTCATTTTTTCCCCTTGTCCCTGCCCTCCCTTCAGCCCTCCTCCCCTCCCCATTTACAAACACTTTATTTGCATTTTTTCATTATCTCATATTTTTTTCTTTTCCCTTATTCCCTTTCCCCCACCCTTCCCACTTTTCCTACATCTTTAGTCCTTTTCTTCGTATCTTTTAGAAGTGATTAACTCCTAAGAATGTATCCCAGGATCAGCAATTATGTGGTTAATGCAGTCTTAATTAAGAGCTACCTGAAGCAGCTACCCTCTCTGGTGGCTCTATACTAATTAAACTAGACAGGGAATCCCACTTAGGACTGTCCAAATAAACCAAATGATACATACTTCCCGGTGTCCAGCCCCTCACAAGACTCACTTTCTCAGATTCTTCATCTATGCCTCCTCATTTGCAGCCCCACAGTCTAAATTCCAAACTGCCTTCAATTTTCCAGTATTCCCGAATTTTTTGAATCCACCATCGACTCTGACTTTCAAACTCTGTGTGCATTTCCGTGCCAGATCCATTATTCTGTCTCCTACAGGCACTTTCCTGCTTCTTGCCTGGCTCCAACCTCTGCTTCACCCTCAGAACATGGTATATCAAGAAGTAAAAAAGTCATGGCTAAAAGATTGATGTATAAAGTTACCTGCTCATTATCCTAGCTCTCTGTTCATCCAAGGTCTGGAAATTTTAAATCATAAAGAATTACTGTACTCAAAAATGCTTAGTGGGATATTTTTTAAAGGAGAAAGAAATAATTAAGTAGAGGGAATGTGAAAGATAATAAACATCCTACCTTCCAAGAAAGCATTTAGGGAACGTAGTCAGTTTTCTTTTTCTGTCTTTGATTAGATTTCCTTGCTTGCACATCATTTTATAAAGTTTCTCACCCTGTTCAGAGATCATTACCCAGGTATCTTGCTCCATTCCTAATTTTAAAACTATCAAAAAATGAGAGAAAGGGTAGGTAACTAAAGAAGTCTCATTGATTCATTTACGCTTTAATTAAACAAATATTAATGGAAATGCATCTCTACCACATGCTGAAGGTTGTGGATACAGAGCTCTGTACGAGTGGGCTCAATATTTAAGCATTTCAAGGCACATTAGAGAGGTAGCCAAGGCAAGATCCTCTTGTGCAACTGTTTAAAATATCTTGTGCAACTGTGCCCCAAAGGTACATGGTTTAGCCCTTGGAGTAAGAGGGGCAGATCAAGTTATCATAATTGGACATGGCAGCCCTGGAGACGCTGCTGCAGTCATGGGGAAAATTGTGATATAATAGAGGCATATTCGGGTTACCACTTCTTCCTAAGAAATCTTTCACAGAAAGGCCATGTTCAAATGTGTGATCATAAACAGGTATTTCTAGAGAAAGAGAAATTATTGATAGGAGCTAACCAAGATTAAGCAGCACAGAGGTATGGAGCCCTGGGGTCCTTGTAGCTTCAACTTACATGCTGGGGAAACATCTAAGTGTTTTAATCCATATGAGGGGAAAGGCAGTAAAGAAAATTTTGTTACTATGGAAACAAAACTCAGAGGACACTATGAGGAACAAAAGGAAAGGGAAAGAGTTTTAACAGAGGAGATCATTAGGAAGAATCTGCAGAATTTCAAACCACTTCAAGACCCTGCAACCAAGGGGCTCTAGGACAAGGAAGATGAAATAGAGAAAGAAGCAGGAGATAGTATTGGTAGGACAAAGCTATTGGTTATACATAGATGTGAAAGAGAGAAAAGAAATAAGGATACCTTCCAGGGTATGAGAGTAACTGAATGAAGCCAGGGACGCTTGTTCGTTAAAGGAGCCCATCATTCCTGAGAATTCTGGGTAGATTCTAGATGCCAGTAGAGCATAAGTACAAAGCCCAGAAGAGAGGACAGGGCTACACATAAAACTGAGAGGGTGGCAGCGCAGAAGTGGACATTAGTGTGATGGAAATAGATAACCTAAGCAAGGAATCTAGTTAGAAACCTGTGCCAAGCTAAAATCCTGCAACTGTGAGCAATCAACTTTTACAGAAGACAAAAGTTTTAAATTAGTTTTAGTCTTCTAAGCTACAAACCTTCCTGCTAAAATTAATTTTTTTACCATGCAAGAACCATAACATTTATCAGCACCAGTGAATAATCCCATAAGAATTATAGCTTCATAAGGATAAACATCACAAATGATTTATGGCATTGGCTTTTTTCATTGTTACTTTTTCATATTTTTGTCTTGTGTGGATCATAGCTCATTCTGAGCAAGAAAAAAACTTCAATTTAATGAAAAAATTCAATTCACCTTTTAAGTTACTCACTTCGTTACTTGAATTGATTGCTAGATAAAAAATCTAGAGTCAGTTATATATTCATAATTTTTTTAAATTTTCTATCTGGTTCTTTCCCCAAGATCAAAGGAATAAGTATTTGAAAATGCCTTGGAAATTCTTATAAGAATATATAATGTGAATATTTTAATGACAGATACTTTGCATATTCTTCAAGGGAAAGCATCTGAAATGGAAGAAGGTTCTTTATGTACTGGAATTCCATTGCCAATTAGGTGTTTTACTTCTGAAACTCAGCAAAAAATAATCAACAGTGCCATGCTTCTTAATAATTAAAATTAATTATTAAATATTAGTAATAAACATCAACTGTTAAACACAAGCATTTTAATTTCAGAGACTAATTACAAAACATGTTCTCTTACATATAAACTCTACATAACTGAATATTGCCTGACCAAACATCTTTTGAAAATCTCTCTAAAAGCATGCACCAAATTTTATCTTGGACCTCTCTGCTGTTAAAATATATATATATATATCCTAGCTAACATATTTGGTCCACGAATTTTCAGAGGCTTGATAAATTTATAGAGAATAATTGTTGGAGGTCCTACAACACCATAGTATATTACCAAAGTTTGTTTCTTAAGAGAAGACTCTGTGATTCAGCTTTACTAGTGGCAAGAATAACTGCAAACAAAATTGTACAAATTTTAAAGCAAGTGAAATGAAAAGACATCGCCAGCCATACTCTGTGTTGGCAACTATATAAAAATTTCAAAACTTTTTTTTTTACAGCAAATAATCCCACCATAAATCAAGGTGAACACCACACACTAATCCACACTCTCATAACTCTTTCCATTATCTTCTCTCGTGCTGGTAGCAACTCCACAAAGAATAATACAGCCCAATTCAAGCACCCACCTTTTCGTCGTTCTCTTTCTTTCAAAATTGCTTCAAACCATTCATGCTTTTCTTCAGGTGTTTTTGCCATGCACACAAACCACTTGTTTTTTGCTGTGTTATGTATTTTCCACCCATTAACAACAATATGTCCACTGCTGTGGAAATCCGCTAATAAAGGTCAATGAAAAAATGTAATATATCATCAACATGATCATTCATCCATGAAAGTTCCCAAACTACTGAATTATTAAAAATATTTTTGCTTTTGTATACGAAACATAAAAGTTGAAAAATTAAAGAAATGTTTTTATACTGAATGCAGTTAATGTTCAATAATGGAATAGGGAATGTTTCTAATTCACACACCAAAATGAAAGTAATTACTATAAAATAATTAATATTTATCTACTCTGTGTCCAAAATATTGTTCAACTTGAACAGCAAAACAAAAATAATAGTTTAGGAATTTTATTTTCAATCAAACATTCAAGATATCAAATTATTTTGTCACTCTAATATTCCCTGTAAATAATATTCTAGGTTTCGGAGACAGACTTTATCACACAGAACATTTCTCTAGTATTTAATTATCAGGAGAATAAAAATAAAAAGAAGTCAATGGAATACACTACATATATTTACCTAAGCTGCAATGAATGGAAACATACAAATGACAAACCATTATGATGGTGCGTGGTTAAAACATAGTCTTCAAAACCACATCATTCCAAAAGTTCACTGACAGGATTTTGGTTCTACTTTGCAACTAACCTCTAAGAGACTTGTCAAATTTTACTGTGGTATCAGAGAAAAAAAAAAGTCCACAATTATCTGAAAGGCCATTAAAATACTCCTTCCTTTTCCCACTGCATACTCTGTGAGGTCAGATTTTTATTTATATTTTTCAACCCAAACAACATATAACAACAGATTCAGCAAACGTTACACACAAAAAAGACTTGTTAACATGTAAAAACATTGTTTCTCTTGTTACTATGTTTTTGTTTTGGAAAGAAATTAATTTTCATTAAAATATATTTATGCTATCAAAAAACCATATCATTCCACATAATTTACAGGAACAAAAGCTCAGAGAAAAATTTTCTTGAAGGGATTTGACATGTAATTGTCTTACTCAATTCCTCTTAATTTTGACTAAATTCTTATGTTGGATTTACAAATGCCAACAGCAAATATTTCACAGTGGTCTGCCCAACAGCAGGTAGAAAATAATGAAGTAACTTGTAAGCAACTTTACTAGCAGGACAGTTCATGCCAACCATTCTAAGATGGGGGAAGGATGACAGAGGTCTAAATCAGCATCCAATTAAAATAACAGTTTTCATCTGTCTCCCTTGAAAGCCATTAAACAGCAATGACCAGTCCACCAGGGACAAGACACAACCATGTTCAATGACTTTCTGGCACTTTACCTAATGTGGTGTTCCCTCTCTCAAATGATTTATTTTATCAAGTTTTGAGTAGTCACAGATGAATTGGCACTCATTTTCCCACAATCTGGTTCTCATAGTCTTTCCATTAGTGCCAAAATAACCATGCATTATCTGCTGTTAGAAAATCTCCAAATCACATTATCAAATAGTGCTGGGGTCTGTAAAATTTCCAGGCTACATTTGAGTAAGAATTATTTCAATATTAGTCTAACATGTTCCCACCACTTTGCTTTTTGCAGCTTTCCTGGCTGTCCTGTAAACAATGGCACATTCTACAGGCTGAGCTTCTCATCCAGCTAGCTACCTTAATGTCCTTTCCATAGCACAGATCTTCTCCTACAGTAAGCTATTTCTAACTAATAATGCTATGCATTCAAACTGCCTTTGGAAATCGTACAAACTCAAAACCAGACAAGTGAGCATGGGATTGATCGCATGTGACTATCATTTCAGTGGCCAGAAACTGAGATTAGCTGACTGTCAAATCTATCTCAAACAACAGCTTACTGCTATAGTTGTAAGACTTTGAAAGAATAGCTGTGTCATATAATAATTGTAAGTGAAAAAATAATGCTCCTTTTACAAAATGTATATGCTAGCTGACTTCTATCACAGCAATTTTTAAATCATAAATCATTTTATTCATATATATGTTTTTATACCATGTATATACATATAAAATGCTTCAAAAGTAGTATGCATACTTAATAGTATTATTATCAAACATTTTATAAAATGAGAAATTGCTTCTCATCTACTTAAAAATATGTATATATAGATTAATAATTTAATCACACCACATTTTCCAACAATGTGAATGTATCAATTTCTATAAGAATTTTTAAAATTACAGTTTACTCATATAAATACTTGATGGATATTCAAAATAAGAATTAAACTTGTACAAAAGGAACAGCCTCACTAAAATCATGCAAAATCCAATAGTCACTTATCTTTAGCAGGTGTGTGTCTGCGTGTGTGTGTGTGTGTCTGTGTGTGTGTGTGTGTCTGTTGGATGCTGGGGACTGAAACCAGAGCCTCATACATACTAAGCCCACATTCTATCAATAAGCTACAACACAACCCCTCTGTCCTTAGTAGGAATTAAAACATAGTTTAAGGAAAAATAATTTATTAAATGGCAAACAGGAATTTGCAAGCTTCGATGGATCTAAAATATTAATTTTATAGAAAATATCTAAAAATGGAACTAATATTGCCATACATTATATGGAGAATATGTAAGCACAATAGTGTGTAGCATCTGATTTCTTCCAAAGCCAGAAAACTCCAAGGGACAGACTTGAATAAGTCACTAATTACTTTAAGGCTCTATGGTTTGCAAATTGCTTACTCTTAATCCAATGGTTTCATTTAATGAGATTGATACATTATAAATCTCAGTGGATATTACTGGCATCTATTCAATAAGTTTTGTATTTTATAAGATGGATAATATCCAAGTACTGTATACATAGGCTAGGAAACGGAAGAAACTGCCAAAAGGATTACTCAAAACATCAAGTATCTGATGTCAAAATGTATTCAGTCCTCATTCTGGTGATCAACAATGCGAATGTATAAATTTCTGCAAGATCTTTTGAAATTATAATTTACTCATATAAATACTTGATGGTAAGAAAATTATACTTTACAAGTAAGTCTTTGAGTTTTAAACTAACAGTAGAAAAATTTCTGGCATCCAAAATAGCACAGGATATGATTTATGGAAAACAGAAAAAGAGGGGATCTAATTTCCTTTTAAAATTCTAGAAATAGCTCTTCTCATGACTTTCTGAATTTTCAAATAAATTCTCTTAAATTAATAACATATTCAAACCTCAGTGTATCAGAACAGATTATGCTCTTTGTACTCTTCTCAAAATTGTGAAAATATTATTACTTTCTAATTAAGAATGCATTCACATAATGTAATGAGAAAATGTTATGGTGGTAAAGGTAACTATGGTTTATCTATTCAATTGGTTGAACTGGTGATAAGAGATAATGATTATCACCATTAATATTTTAAAATAATGTTTTTATTTAAATGAAGGATACAAAATTATCACAACCAGTGATAACATCATGTGATGCAAAAAAGGTCTTCCACAAAAATCCAATATCCATTCATAATAAAAACTCTGAAGAAAATAGGTACAGAAAAACCCTACTTCAAATGAATAAAAGCCATTTATAACAAACTCACTGGCAACATCATACCAGGGAAAAACAAAGTATTTCCTCTAAAATTAGAATCAAGACTGTTCAATACAATATTCAAAACTTTAGCAGGCAATCAGGCAAAAAAAAGAAATAGATGTGATATTAAAAGAAAAGGAAGAAGTCAAACTATCCTTATTCACAGATGACATGATCTTTTACATAAAAAACACAAAAAAAAAACTCTACCAGAAGACTCCCAAAATGAATAAATTCAGCAAACTAGCACATTATAAAATAAAAACACAAAAATTAATATGATCACGTACACCAACAATCAACTCACTAAGTAAGAAACTAGGAAAACAACTTTATTACAATAGCTTAAAAAGTCAAATACCTGGAAATTAACCTAACCAAGGAAGTGAAAACCACTATAATAGAAAATATAATACCCTAAAAAATATTGAAAAAAATCATTTGATAATGAAAAGATATTGCATATTGTGCAAACTTCTACCAATAAAAGGTGGAAAAATCTCAAGCCCATGTTTTAAACATGTATAAAATATAATCATAAAAAGGAAATTAAAGAAAATATTTTACCTCTATTTGGAAGCAAATTTATTTTTCTAAAAACTACATTCAATAACTTCTGATGCTTCAAATATTTTATTAAAATGACAGCTATAGTTTTCCTAATAAAGACTATCTTAAGATAAAATGTCTTACAAAGACTACCTTAAGAATAAAAACATTCATCTTATCTGAATTGAATTTGACTATTTGATTTGACCAACACTGAAATATAGACCCCATTTTCTGAAGGTCAACATTCTTGCCCTCAGCCCAATCATACAAATAAACTAGTTGTTAAGGAAGAATACAAATTATCTAGTGTTATTTTTGTATAGCTTTCCAAGTATGCAATATGAAAATTACCATGGAAATTGAATTTAGGAAGTTCAATAGCATTCTTCCTCCCCTTGCTTTAAGTTTGATTTTTAAAAATAGCATCATGATAAATTGACATCCCCAGGAAAAATCTTCTAAGAGGAATAAAATGAGAATTGAAAGCTAGAGAATGGTGGAATGAAAATCTGGCTACAAATTCAAAGGTTAACATCTTCTTTGAACATAGTAAATAATGAATAACCCTTTTGACTCTGCATGCCACATCATCATTAATTACATTTTTTCTAGGATAATATATAATTATAGTATAATACAACTAGTAAGCATTATAAATAAAATTGCACTTAATTCCCAGAAGATTTTAGCTATTTATATGTCAGGTGCAATTTAGTCTCATCTCAAATGTAATTATTTTTTCTGTTTTGAGCTACATCAATGTAATTAGTTGTCAGATAAGACTTCTCCCTTAGAAAAGAAAAACATTTTACTTATAGCCACAGTATATAGAAATACTATTTCCATAATTCAAATGAAAGGAAACCTTTTCCATTCCATTTTCCTTCAAAATTTAAAGCATACTTACAAATATATCACAACTCATTCATATTTATTATTTAATATCTAAATACGGTGCATTTCTTGGTTTGGGGTTTTGAGAACGGCAGATAAGCCTGATAGTATTTGCCCATCCCTCATTCAACTGATCTATGGTCCAGGTGAGAGAGTATTTGGTAGGTAGACACTAATCAGCTCTGCTGAGCTCTATCACATCAGAGCTCCATTCACAGAGTCTAAAGTAAGCAGATTTAAAATCTGAGCTCATCAAAAACAAATGAAGCTCCCATGATGGAAATGACCACAAAAACAAGAAAGGGAGACCATTGGTGCAGCTCTCAGACTGGCTCTTAGAAGAAATAAACAGCTACAATCAATCCTGGAACATATTTCTTCAGTGTTTTTTATTTGCTTTCTGTGGATTTAAAACCTGTGTGAAGCTTCTGTTGTCCTGTCCGTTCCTCAAGGCATGAATATGGGAGCCTAGCAAACTGAACACTAGTGCCAGCTCTGTTAAGCAGCTGGGTAAATTTGAATGGGTCAATACTTAAATCTGACCTCATTTCTATCATCTGAAATGTTAATGGAGTATATTCCATCTTCAAGATCCTATTCATCTTCAGAAATTCTATTTTTCAATTTCCAAGCCTGGCAGAAGATGTACACTTTGTGCCAGAAACCTATGAGAAGATGAGTTTCCTTGTAGGAAGCCTGATGAAGGTACCCAATTGCAGCCTATAAAGTCTTAAGAGTGACCTTGTAGCAACTGTTTTCAGCCAATTCTTGCAATATACTCTTATGTATGTTCAAGGAAGAGAATAAACTCTCCTTATGTAATATAAGGTCTAATGAATTCTTCATCTTATTTCAATGAAAGCTGAGCCTTGCAAATTTGCAGAAAGAGGCTCCATTGGACAGCTAATCTATGAGGACTAGACAATTTACAGTATCCTGTCTTTGCCCTAATTCATACCCACAAGAATCAAGACCATTCTACATGTTCCTCTCTCCAAGAACTGAGGTCCTGATGGCTAGAATACCACCAGCACCAACAGAACTTTCTCATGTGACTAAATCCAATGTCCAACAGTGGAAATGTTCTGCTCAGGTCAGGCCTTTTTGGATCTCACTCCTTCACCACCTACACATGCCTCCAAAGACCATGGGCTCTCATGGTTATTTACATGATGACCCAATTTCCCAGAGACACAGAATGTCAGTAATCATCAAAATACACTTCAACCAACAGTACAAATGGCATCGATGGTGGCAATCACAGCATCTGGAGAATGGAGCAGGAAGTGGGAAATGTGGGATAGATGATCAATCCCTCAGAAAGTAACACTAAGCCAACAAAAGATAAAAAGGAAGAAAATAATGAAAGTACCAAAGCAAAAGGGGGGATGGTTCCCTTAGAGAAAGACAGGGCCAGTAAAGAATAGGGTGGAGGTCTGAGTGCCCTTCTGTTGCTATCTGACTTCCTCACAACTCAAGTGCAAAGTGGGCTTTGGGGCATCCTTTTGAATGTTCAGATTACTGAGGCAATATAATGCCTAACATTTTGGACATATTATTCCTAATCATCATTACATAGTACTCAGCATAAAATGAATTTACAAAAAATAGTATATATATTCCCACTACAACAGAATAGCCCGCTGGGTCTACATGCTGGCATGAGAGCATTTGCTCCGTCAGTTTTCTACAGAAAGGGATGTGAAATGTGATAGCTACCTGTATCAGCTCTCTGAGCATTCCAGGCCTCTACCCCACCATCGGCCAGTGTGTAACCTCTCCATACAGTCGTGGGGTGGCTCCACACCGAGTGCCAAGTCTCAGGCACTGTTTAAGTTTTGCTCATTGGATGCCATTCCCCTTAACTGCCACAGTCTGGGTTTGCGACTTTAAATACTTGACTACTTGTTATCATGCTAATGGAATAGGGAAATGGTATATATGTGAGAGTTTGAAAATCTGTGCCCCTGATAGATAATAATATTCTTCTCCCTTCTGGGACCTCCGGATGACAGCGAAGGCAAATGGAAGGTGTGGAGTTGACCTACACTACAATCTTGTGTATAATGAATACTATAAACACGTCTCCACATGAAAATAAAAGCCATTTAGAAACAATATATTTTATTTCATCTTATTTTCCTAGTGTACCTCTGAAACTATGATTACTATCACTAGAGAAATTGAATTGTGATTCAATTTTCTAAGCACTCAATTCATAGACAACTTTTTCCAAATAGGAAATAAAATTTACTTTGACTTCATTTTACTTAATGTGTATGGCTAAACATAAGTTCATAAACTTACCTGTAAAAGTCCATACTTTCAAATTTACAAGACAACTTCACATAACAAAGTACTTAAAATGAGCACTTAAAATTAAACAAATCATCCCTACCCACAGCTGTTCTCTACAAGCATACTGATAACCGATTCATATTACTTAAAGCTGTATAGCTAAACAATCTAGTCTGTGATATTCTACAGTAAATATACTATAGGAATAAAAGTATATATCACACATATAAATTATATATGAATATAAGTTAAAGAGAGTGAATGCATTTGTCGGATATTTCTACCTCCAATCTATATACCAGCAGTGTCCTATGGAACTAAAGCAAAATGAACATTCTCAGAAAAAACACTACTCAGCTAATTGTCAACACTTTTGTGTTTTGATGTGTACATCAAATATAGCTTTCTATTTCCACAACAGTCGTGCCCTTCTTCATCTAACTTTTCTCCTCCTTCTACCTGATTGCTTACTACTCCACTTTACAAAAATATTTCTGTGGTCTAAAGCACGGTAGATAAATTGTGAAAACAGTTCTGCCTTGTGAGGGAGTCTGCTCTCAGCATCCCATTCAAACCCACTCATTGCTCACCCGTGCCGTCATCTACATTCTCCACTTCCATCACTTCTGTGTTGATCCGGCCACGAAAAAGGTATCGATGTCCATCCGTAGCGCTCTTGCTATTCTTCAATCGTCTTCAAATGAATAAAACCACGAAGACTTCGTTACAAAACTTAATGCAAATCAGTGTTAAAATAACGGATTTAAAACGGGGCACAGTGGCATATTCCTACAATCCATTATTGCAGAAACTGAGGCAGGTGATCGTAAGTTCGGGGCCAACCTGGAAAGCTTGGCAAGACCCTGTCTCAAAATTAAAATACATAAAAAGGCTGGGGGTGTAATTAGTGGTAGGATGATCATGGGCTAAATACCCAATACCAGAAACAAACAAACAAACAAATTAAAAAACTGAGAAATTCTTTGAAGAAGGCACCAATCAACATTATTAAAAGATGGTAGCACTTGGTGATCTTATTTGTGTCCTTTCATTCACAGAGATACTGTTTGCTTTTTAAAATGGAAATGAGTGCCAGTTTTTTAAATAAATCAAAGATTTAGGCAAAAGGCTGTATATATAGGTAAAAGCATGCAGCTTGCTCAATGAAGGCCATTAGCATTGTCAATCAAACTTCACGAGACACTGAAGTCTGGTTATTTTAATGTCACATTTGAGTTTCTTTTACCTTCATTTCTCATTTTTCATACTGGATAATTCCTTCTTTCAAAAGTTGGGAAACAAATTTAGTTAATTCTTCCAATCTTTCTTCAAAGAAAATGACTATGAAGAGGTTCTTAAGAACCTTACAGAAATATCCAGCTGTAAAATATTTTCCTATGTATATATTTTTGGGGGTAGGGGTACTGAGGATCAAATTTGGGACCTTGTGCTTGCAAGGTGCGTGGCAAAACCACTGAGCTAATCCCCGGCCCTTTCCTACATGGTTTTTATAATATAACTATAATTATTGAACAAGTCTCATAATATATGTATAATCCTTCCTAAAAGTCTTACTTATTCTTAAAATAAATCAAAACATTTTAAAACTTGTGTATATCTACTGTCAGTCTTTAATCTTTGAAAGTGTGTAACACAAGTAAAAATCCCAGGTTTACCAATGATATTTGTAACAATGAATGAGGTGGTTATGCGTTAGAATTACTAAATGCTCGTCAGAGAGGTTTTCTTTCAAAACGTTTTATTTTTACACAGGTAGGAGTCTCATGTGTGTGTGTGTGTGTGTGTGTGTGTGTGTGTGTGTGTGTGTGTGTATTTGACCTACACTACACATTCATTAGGTACATTTTTAAATGGCAGGATTTAATTTTCTAAGACCTTCCTAATTTATGAGGTGTAATAAAAAATACAGATGTAGGGCAGGGGATTTAGCTCAGTGGTTCCACTGCCTGCCTTGCAAGTGCAAGGACCCGAGTTTGATCCCCAGTACCAAAAAGAAAAAAAAAATACAGATGACATTTAGGGTTTTTTTTTCATCTATTACAGTAAAAGATATTTTGCCATTAATCTGCCTCAAAATACTCTCATTTATTTCACACTTATTCATTCCATCATTCTTCTCATCTTCTGAAAGGTAGATCTGGGAGTCCTCTTGTGAGTGTTACAATTCATATCTAAAATGTCCCTAAAAACCTCATGCACTACTAGGTGGGCTTTTGGTAAAGTGATTGAATTATGGGGGCTTATAGCTGATTTGCCCTTAGGAGGTTGAATCCAGTTCAAAGAGGTAAAAGAGGTAGGTCACAGGGTACATGGCCTGGAAGGGTCTATCGCCTCCTTGCTCTTCCCTTGACTCTCTCTCACTCTCTCTCTCTCTCTCTCTCTTTCTCTCTGCCTCTCTCTCTCTGCCTCTCTCTCTCTCTCTCTCATATATAGATAGATAGATATAGATATCTCCAGATAGATATAGATATTTCCCTCCCCCACCCTCTCTCCACTGCCTTATCACATGCTGTTTTTCCTCTGCCATTCCCCTCTGCCATACCACCCTCCTTTGGAACCAGAGGACTATGGACTGAAACCTCTGCAAACTGTGAGCCAAAATAAACCTTTTCTTCACTGAGTATTATGTGTAAGTACTATACCTAAGACAACTGAGAGTCTTTAGTTGTGCTGTGATGGCTTCCTCACTGTCCTGAATTGTCTCAGAATGCTTCCCTTTCATGGTCATTTTGTCTTTGACAAAGAGCTAGAATTTGTATGGTGCTAGCTCTGGTGAATAAGGTGGACAGACACACTATAATGTTTTACAAGCCTGTCTTTCCATTAGATGGACTAGGCAGGGACATTCATTGTATTTGTATTTCTCAAAAATCATACCTGGGAAAGGCATGAAAGAAGACTTCTATAACTGCTTCAGAAGAAGAAAGAAGGATGGGACAAGTGTGTTCACAGCAAAGGGGAGTATTGTCAGGGGGATTAACGGCAATGTGTCTTTTACCTTAATAAATATTTTTAAAATTTAAAAATGCACCTAATAGTCTGATCACATCTCATACTTGGCAATTATAATCATGAGAGCATACAATATAATTATTTGTACATTTATATTAAGTATATTCACATGCAGGTAATTACATATAAAATACTAGATACATATAATACAGTATCATGGTATCTTACAAGCCAATCACATTTAAAGGGCCAAATATCCTTGATAACAGTTTTAGTCCCAGTCAAAATAATCACATATATTTATATGTAAGAATCTATCTCTGAGTTCTATTTTCCAAAGTATTAATATATCTGTTTATATTCATCCTCTGAACTCTCTAAAGGCTTTGGATATTTATCTTGGAATATCTTACCTGCTGATATAAATATTTAATAGAAACAATAAGGGCCTGATATTTTTTATTCCTTAAGAAAACTGAAAAGACTGGCTTAAAAATACTTTGCTCTGCACAGTAATACTGCATATTTTCATATTTTAATTCTGTCACATTTGCAATAGCAGAAAAGCTAGAAAACAACCCTAAAGTTTATTAATAAAAGCAATAATTAAATTGTGATTTAATTCTTGACATGAAACCAGTGACATGTCATGCATCTTAAAATGAATAAATTGTTGTTGCATACAAAATGAATATTATTTTAGAAAATACTGAATGTTTAAAAAATGGCAAAAAACTAAATCTGTTATGAGGTAAATACCTCATACAGCACGTAAACAAGCCAAACTAAGCAATATCATATCAATATGTCAAATACTACCTCAGAAATCATTTCTTAAACTGTGTCTCCTAAGATTAACACCATTAGAAAGAACCAAAGGTAGGATGTCTAATCTAGCACTCCTTCCTGTAAAGAATGTAAGAGCATCAAGTTTCTGATACTTGTATTACAGTACTGTGGGACTCTGAAGAGGTTCCATTTATTCATACTTTCTGAAAGCTCTCCACATCTTAAAAATTTTTTGGTAAGGTGAAGTTTATGGAAAAGATGTAGTATTCTAAATGGCAGTGAAAGATGGTTAATTCACAGGGCTTCAGCAATACCAGGAGGGAATAAATATATTAAACTGTTCAGCTACCTCCATTTCCAACCACTATGCATTTAGTCTATACTACACATTTATTATGGATTATTTATTAAACTGTAGGAGTCTAGTTTTATAAAACTTTTCCTGCTGCTTTACTTATTTAACAATTACAATCATAAGATGATATCATATCATCATTTGTACACTGACCTTAACTTTGCAAGTGCTCTGGACTTGATAGCCAGCATAAGTATAGAAAGATTAAAATCAACTGTAATGAAAAAAGATCTTATTCTCAAACTGATGTCTTCAATAATTCTACCAAAATATGTTGATTAATGTTATAATTTTAATGAGCTAAGCACAAGAAAATTAATGACCTGTTCTACTTGTTCCTAAAGCCTATTTTCTATTAAACCCAATCTTGCTGTCAAACAGGAGGAATTTAGAAGACCATGGTAAAAGAAATAAATGGGTTCATTTTCACATCTGGTAAAAGAAAATTTTGAGCTAAGCACAATATTAACCTGCAATTTCAGCTACTCAGGAGCCCGAGGCAGGAAGATTACTTGAGCCCAGGAGTTCAAAACAAGCCTAGTACAGTGAGACCCCCATCTCAAAAATCAATTGTTTAACTCTCATTAGCATAGAGATGAAAATTAGTTATGGGGTGTGGTAAAATATGGTGAATGTTAAATTTTTTCATTTATTACACTGAAAGACATACTGCATTAATCCTCCAAAACTGCACCCTTTTCCTTTGGACACTCATCCTATCATTCTTGCCCCTTTATGAAGCAATTCCAGAAATCCTTGCACGTCCTTAGTCTAGCTGTCTTGGCTCACCTGATGTCTTCAACTGATTCAAAACACTTACCTTTCAATGTCATTTTGACTTTGGAGAACAGCCAAAAGTCCCACAGTGCAAGACCCAATGAATAAGACACAGGACAACTATATGGCTTTATTTGACAGAAATTGCCATAGACATTTGAGCAACATGGGATGATCAAAAATTATGGTGAACACCTACGTTTTAAAAATTTATTACAGTAACATTGTCATTAATCTTTCTCAAAATGTTGCCCCTTGCCTTGGACACACATCCAATCATTTTTAGTACTATGTCTCTTGCTCTAATAAAATTTTTGGCCTTTTGAATTCTGACATTCACTGTTTTTTGTTTGTTTGTTTTTTACCGGGGAATCAAACTCTGGTCCTTGTGCTTGCAAGGCAGGCAGTGGCACCACTGAGCTAAATCCCCAGCTTCACTATATTTTTTAAACACTGTTTATATTTTTTTGGCTCTGCTCCTAGCTTGCTCCCTTTCATGAAGGTACACCTTGTAGTCCTGTTTTCTCACTTCATGCTATTGCATTTTTGAATTAATATCTCTTACCAGAAAACTCTAATACTGCAATCCACATGGGTGAAGTACCATATATCATCAATATAATCACGGAATTTTCACTAACTTGCTCTGGGCATCTTGCTGACCTGGGAAAACTCATGTCAAGGCATAAAAAATGATGTTCTCTCAATTCTGCCTAATAAATCAGTTTTGTGTCTCTCATTTCAGTCTACCAGAAAATTCTCACTTTTAGTTTCTTGGCTTCTGAATTTAGCATAGACAATCGCTCAAAAACCTGCACTTTCTACCACATATCTTCTCTGTCAATGAATAGAATACCATCTCACTAAAATAAATGTGCCCTAGCTGCAGTTAGTGTCTTAAGAAATACTCAAGTCAGGTGCTGCTAAGAAAACAAACAGGACCTTAAAGGACAGAAAAGTGATTGCTGTACTAGGAAGCAGAGCAGTTTCTTTGACATAAGAAGCTTAGATGAGTAGAGTGGACTAAAGAAACACTGAAGGCTACTGAGAGAAAAATAAGAAGTTTAGTTTCAAGAGCTAAATGATCACTTACTCTGTGTGCAGCAGGTAAATACTAAATTCTCTGTATAATGGAGTTAATAGAAAAAGTACGTGGGTAGGAAAGGCTAATGCCGTAAACTACATGTGCCAGGAGCCTGGACGGAAGAGGGGGAAGTGGTTGGGACACAGGACTGGGGATCACGGAAGACACTCAAACCTCTCCTCTAGGCTCTGAGACATACAAGTCAAGAGCCAACACCTCTCCTTGAGGGAGCTTAGGGAGGGGCATCATGAGATGACAATGAGATCCAACAGGAAGACGCAAGGAGCAGTGGGAAAAGGCTAGGATCTGAAGCAGGTTACTGGGCAGAAGCTGACTTCTGGGAAGTACAGAGGAAAATGTGAGATGCACAAGGCATTTCTAAAGTGTGACTCCTTTATTATCTTACCTGTGTTTTCTTTTGCAGTACACCAAAAGATTATCAAAAAGAAAAAACACCCGTTCTTGAATGTTTCCCGAAGAAATTTTCAGCAAAACTCCACACATTAGCATTTCAGTGCAGGTGTCAGTAATGTTGGACCCCTGAGTTAGGGAAAACAAAAATGGCAATGTCTGATTACTTGGCCAAAACTTTTGTATGTAATTATTCTTATCCTTAAAAATTATACTTGCTTTTATTAAGAAGCAATATATGCACAGGACAAAGTTCAAACAAGTCAAGTAGCCATAATGAATGTAGGGCTCCTCCCATATCCAGTTACCTGGCCAGTTCCAGCAGACACTGGATCTGCTTTCAGACAGTATGTACACATGCACACATAATCTAGGTTATCTGTGCTATTCTGAACAGAGACAATTCATAATCTTTATGCCCATATTTTTCCTTTCTTGTTTATTTTCCCCAGTACAGACTCCAAGGACACATAAGAAATCACATGAAACTGCCTAAATTTTCAGCCAGTATCGATTTATATATTCCTTCCTAGGAGGAAGAAAACAATATAAATAAAATCAAAAATTATTTAAAGGGAGCAAAAAAAAGCTTTACATGATTTATAGGCACACTTATTGATTAAGTAAGCCTTTACTGAGTGCCCTCCAAGATTACACGATTGAGTGAGAAACCTGATTCTTCACGAAGACCTAACCTATAGACACTGAGAGGAACTGAGAAGGAAGAAGGCTGGGTCCTTGAATCATCAACAGCAGAAAGCTGCCCACTGAGCACAACACACACATTCAGTTTCTTGTATAAATAGAATTCAAGTGTCTATTTTGAGTCATTATAAAAATTAAACACTATTTGTTTCTAACTAATGCACTTAAGTGGTTAAAAAACAAAAGAATTGTCAGTACAGACATGCAGATAATCTCTGCAAGAGAATTTCAACTTTAAATGTACCTGATTTCTTTTACTTATTTTTTTTTAATTTTTTTGACAGGGTTTCCCTAAGTCCCTAAAATGCCCAAGGTGGGCTCCAACTTGTGGTCCTCCTGCCTCAGGACCTCCTCTCAGTCTGGTTTCATTTAGCATGGAGGCAAATTTCTCATTCTTATTTAAATCAATGATTCTTTTTTATTTTTATATTAAAATTTAAGATAATTAAATTTTAAATTTCATATTCCCACAAAGCTCATTGTTTTTCTGATCTATTTTTAAAATTTAAATTACAACTCATACCTATGATAAGGTACCTCTAAGAGTTAAAGTTAATTAAAATGAAATGCTATTATCTTAACCTAGTTGTTTATATTATAAACACATCTTAAATTTTAAATATTTACCTTTTTATTTCTTTTTATCCAATAGTAGATGCATAAATGGAGATTTGGCCAAACTTTCTACAGTTTCATGAATATAATTTGACTATACAAAAATTAACTTTAGTTTCCTTTTTACGTTTTAGTCCTATTGTAATTTTTTCCTCAGATAGGGATATCATTTCTTCTAAAGAAATAATAATAAATCATTGCCCCTGGAATTGAAATTTATATTCATAGTTTATGACAATCTTTTTTTTTTTTCTGGTGCCAGGCATTGAACTCAGGCCCTTTCACTTGCAAGGCAGGCAGCAGAACCACTGAGCCAAACCCCCAACCCCATGAAAACCTTTGCTTGTCATGAACACAAGCCAGAGTACAGGAAAGGTGTGTAAGTTTTTAAACTTCTTTTATACTACTCTATATTTCATCATTACTGAATATTATTAAACCTGCATGTTATTTTCACCTGGTTGGTATTGTCTTTTCAGTTTGAAAAATCAATGCTAATTTTCATTTCTAAATATCTGTATTTATCAAACATATATTTAGTCACTGAACAACCATGTATAGCAAATAACTTATCTAGGTGAATATTAAACATTTATTACATTTCTACATTTCAGGCAAAGTTTTACATATGTTCTCCCAGTATAAATCTCTACCAAGTTGGTCTCATCAGAATATGAAGATATTGATTAGTTAGCTGACTGTATTTAACATTAGAATTCATTAACACCAGGGTCTATCTTACTCATTTCGTCAACTGAATGTTGAATGTCAATCAGAAAAACACAGACTGACTGCAGGGAAAAACCTTCAACACTGAAAAAGATGAAGGATAACACAAAGCCATGAAGTTCCTCACTCACATGAAATACACTGACCAACAAAGGCCTAGACTCATTCATGGTAGAAGAAAAGAAGACTGACAAGAAAGACAATTTGATGGGCATTTCTAAAGAGAATAGCTTCGATATCAAAAGAGTCCCTTGAGAAAACTGATGAAGCATTTTAATACTCTTACCAAGAAAAATCACTTTAAAATACTATGAAATCAAACATGAAATGAAGAATATCATAGTTTTACCATATAATGCTTTCATAAAATATTTATCTTATGCACAAGAAGAGAAAAAAAACTCAGCATTTGATCCAATCTTTTCAAGGCTAAAATTGCTAATTAAAATAACCTGAATTCTACCTCATATAAGATAAATCAAACTAAAATATAAATAGCCATTTACCAAGATAAAGTCAATATTAACTTTTCACCTCTCCTTCTTATGAAATTTTATTCCTCTAACTAGATTCACTCTGTTTTCCTTTTCCAGCACTGCTTATCCTCAAATACTATCACTTCAAAATAGTAAAATGAATTTGCATCCAAGTCACCTGGTGTAGACAATAAAAGAAAGAAAAAACAAAATGAACAAACAAAAAGAAGTCTCCAGGCCAGGGGTTTGGCTCAGTGATTCTGCCACCTGTCTCTCAAGCACAAGGGCTGGAGTTCGATAGCCAGTACAAAAAAAAAAAAAAAAAAAAAGCACCCCATACTCG